CCCACTTCTTCATGCATCCAACTTGGCAATTCTGTTTGGGCAATTTTGCATTAGGTGACTCCTACTATAATCAGCTTGGTGATATCTTTCGAGGAATATTTTTTTCTATCCACAGTACAAAACTCTTTTTGACTAATTCGGTATCCAATTCGGCAATCCTCATAAAATTATAAATCTGGTGTGGCAGAAGAATTTATTCATTTTTGTTTATTTGTTTGTATATTTTTCTTCTTACTGAGTAATTGATTTTATGTCTCGCTTTTTTCACTCCTGACCTTATCATGTCTCGATGATTGTATGTTTGTGTGTGTGTGCGTGCGTTAATTAGTTCTATTACTTTTGGGTGAGCGAATACGCACTACTTCTTTTATCAATACCTCCCCACCTAAGATATGTACGATTTAAACCTAGCTTGAGGTTTCGTTTGCTTTCCCGACCCTATAATCAGTTTTATTTATTAAAATAAAAATTTAAAATGTTTTTATCAATTGCTTCATATTGCTGATTATGGAGTCGAAATAAACTCATACTTATTATACTTTTACTTAAGTCAAGTGGACACGCAAGTAGGCCTACGCCTATCAATAGCAGTAGTTTATCATCCGCTTTCCATTGAAATGGGGAAGCCCCATGATTATTAAAGAGACTGATAACGGCACATTATCACTCACCAGCAACGAACTGCTGTCGCAAACAGTGAAAAAGCGAGATGACTTCTGGACTTGGACATCAAGCAGTTCAGCCAATATAGATGATATCCATCTTACGCAACATTTTCAACAGCCAAGCAAAACGGAAACGTATAATCCTACTTGCAACTGAAGGAGCGAGCTGCACGTTTTTGTTTTTTTGCCGTCCGGTAAACGAAGTCACGTGACCCGTGCAAGTCCTATAAATAGCAATAATATCACATGAAATCTTTTAACAGATAAAACAAGGGTCGTCACAAATAGGAGGAGGCATTTGTCCTTGGAACTCAGGACAAATTTATTGGTTAAGGAAGTGACATAATGACAAGCCACAATCAATGTATAGTGTTGAAGAAACCACCTTTTGTTCTGTATGATATCTGGATGTGCGGGTCTGTTTCCTTGAAGGCAAAAAACCACATGATGCTAAGCAGAATACGAAGACTGTAGAAATAAGTACACATCCTTGCTTTACTCCGTTGGAGACTTGGGAATCGTTTTTGAACCCTCTATAACTCTCATGCCATTATGAATGCACATTATTATCTGCACCATTCTATTGGAGATTTCGATTTGTGTCAGGATACGCCAAGGACCATAAATTACCATGGATTCTTGTTTTACTCTTTTCGCATCTACTGGATCTGTCTGGCCCACAATGCTCAAAAAATGCCACAATTGTTGTCACAGTTGACCTATCTACTTTATCCTTGTACAAAACTAAAATGTGAGATTCTAGCATCGTTCATATCTTGAGACAGATATCCATCCTCTTAGCAAATGCCAAAAAATTCAAAGAATTTTCTTACCAACGGATAGCTACGGTTTCAATTGTTTTAGACGGGACCCCATTGGATCTTGTTTTTGGCCGTACCAGAATTTCGAGTCAAAAGACATTTGACAGCAATAATAACTCTTACATTCCTTATACTTTCTCGATCTGGTCATTGAATTTCTACATTTGGAAGGACACACTCAATGTTATCGTCCACAAGATTTTTTAATTAGTTTTAAGTCCAAAAACTCTTCTTTATTAAAAAACTCCCGGCTTTGCTGAACACTGTATAAATTGCTGAAATACGATCGCGGAACTTCCACATACTGTGCCATTTTCAATTTAGATATGTCGTCAGACGAAATATCGTGGTGAAAACTAATCTCACGGAACCCAATTTTTTTTTAAATAAATAAAATTATTAGCTCAGTTCTAGCAGCAACAACAATCCTCAACCATAAAGCAATTGGTCTAATGGACGTTTCCCCGACCCATGAGGTGACCCCTGAACGATTCTCCATGTACTTTAAAAATTGTCTCTGTCTTAGCCATTGAGGTGTAACACCTCAATGGTCTTAGCGAAGTTACCTCACCGTGATTGTGATGTAACTATGGTCGGAGTGACATTCTAAACTTTCTATTATACGCCGTCGTGAGCATCTCAATGATTATCTAATGTTACGAAGGTGAACAAGGAAGTTTGTTTGGAGAAACATCCATAAACACGCTTGAAAATGCGGCTGAGTAAAAAAAATTGTCTCAGCGGGTAATAAAATTTTATTTGTTACGTTGCGACTTGCGAGTATTCATTGTGGCAGACTTAATAAAACAAGAAAATCGATCATCAGAAAAAACATGCATGTATGTTTCCTAGACATCATATGTTGGTAGAAAATATTTATGCACATATTCTACACATATTTCGAACTGAGTTCATCTCATGGTCGAAATTTGCTCCGGATTTGGATGTCCGGTAACATTCTGGTATCTCCTTCTACTACTTTGGCGCCACATGTCCGACAAAATGAACAAGCGCGATCGTCAGCTCTTCTGGTATGTGCTTAGACAGTATTCGGATAGCGATGATCATAGCATGTGGTAAACATGCAGTTTGGAAATTTAGAAATTCTGTGAAATATGACAAAATACTTGACATGCAATTCGTTCTGGGAACTTTGATATTTTTCTGAAGTGCCTACATACAGTCTGACCGTACCAGTACCGGTACCGTAAGTCTGTAAGTTGTGATCCAGCGCATGCGACTTATTTTAATACAATACTAACTACTGTGATCCCGTAATGCATAATCGACATGGGGTCTCCTGAGGTACGGGTCATCAAGTAGCATGATGATTTTATTAATATAATACTCCTAACCCCACCTGACTTTGGACTTGAGTACGGTACGTCACCCCAAAATTACATCACTGCCAGTCTGCGACGTCACAATCGCGTCATAGAGCTTGCAAAAGTATAGCTACGATCGTCCGAAATGGAATCTGTGGCGAATATATTGAACTTACCAAAGTCAGCGATCTCTCTCTTATCGATATCATTTCGACAAGAAAACGACAGAAATAGCTTGCTCGATTTCTGGTGATCGTCTGCACGTGTTGGATGACCGTTCGTATAATTTGAAGGGCAATATTACGTCACTGACGTCGTGACGTAATTTTTGGATGAGGTAGTCTGGTGGGGGTTAGGATTGACATACCGTATATGCTCGTTTTACCGCCCGATCTTGATTAAGGGCCTGTTTGAATAGCCGACCGTGTGAACAGAACATAAAAATAAATAAGGGCCGGTGAATGTAAATGCCCCATGTAAACACTGATTTTTCAGTGGTAGAGAACAATACTGCAATAGGAAATAAGAAACGCTTTTGTCACAAGGCTGTTAAATTTTAAGGACCGGTATAAAACACTCACGCCTTAGGTGTCCAAGTACATACCAGATAGCATTGATTACGTAACACCATGATTCTCAAACTGAGTCTCAAATGATTCTCAAGTGCGTCTTTTCAATATTGGTTTAAATATATATCGGCGTCGCAAAACTTTTCTTCTTTTGCAGATTTGTACCTGCGGTGCGTAGAAAAAGTTAAAATTTTCTATATTCTTGTTTAAATCATACTTGAGAACTAGAAATAACAATATATTAATTATTGTAACGATTGAAAATAACAAGCGCCCGTGTTGAATAAGGGCCCGGTTAGTGAGTTGGTTGAAAAAAATATGGGCCCCGGGCTACAAAACGAACAAATACTGAAATACGGTATGCCAAAATTGTTGAACCAGGCCAACTAGAAGTACTTGCGGCGTGTACTCAAGAGACCCCCAACATGGAATGGTAACGAGATGAGAGGCTGTGGTTTGCCATATGGGTAAGCCATCTTATCGCTTTCCTCTCCCTTTGGGATAGATATGTAAATCCCATCCTATTACAGTCATAGACTCATACAGTCATAGGTCTGTCTGCCTGTCTGTAGTTGATGCTTCTCGATAACTATCACTGATTTATCTAGTGTCCCCATTACACTGTAATGCTTTTTTTATCTTTCTCATTGTACGATGTGTACTTTCGGCACGTCAAAAAATAAACTACTATATAACTGACAATGACAATAAAGTACTAACTGCTGGACCAGCTATCCATCCTAATGAACTAATGAATTTAGATTAAGTCTGTAAGTTAACCGATGCACAGGGACGGAAAAAAAGTAAAATGGACGTAATAACTTTCAAAATGACAATGAATTAGTTTTATCAATCTAATCAAAATCAAATTATGTGTTGAACACGCAAAATGGAACAAGTAAACCCAATAATGATATTCAAAACATAAAATTCCATGCTTCCGAAAACAAATAACCACCGTATGGGGAAGTGAGTCTAACATAAAATCATTATTGCATGTTGGGTAGAAAAGTCAAACATAGAATACGACGGTACCGGTAACAAAAGCCAGATTTTGAGATATTACCTGACCCGATATTCGAGTGGAAGTGGTGACTCCTCTTCGGCCCATGGGCCGGGGCCACGGCCCATCAAATTGGGCCTAGGCCCATCAGGCTATGGGCCGCGGCCCATCAAGTTGTGTAAAGGAACTATTCACTTGGCTAACACAGACAGTCCCCAAACTGTCCCCAACTGTCTCTCTTGGCTAACCCTAACCCTCATAATAGAACTATAATGTAAAAAATCTGAACAAAATTTTGCCCTAACCCTAACCTGGTAGGCTGGTACACATACTACAGGAGTTTATTTTTTGGTTCGAATATTGACAATTTTGTAAAAATTGAAAATTTTGGTAAGATAATTGAATTTTTCCTGACGGGGCCGCGGCCCATAGCTTGATGGGCCACGGCCCATGTGGCCCAATTAGATGGGCCGTGGCCCCGGCCCATGGGTCGTAGTTGAGTCACCACCCCTGTAGCGATATTCTGATGTCACTCTTGGTAAAGGAAGAAAACGACTGATGAATGCAGGACATGACATTGTCTGCCTTTAATAATATCAACATCCTCTCTCTTTCGAACAAATTTTCAGTTGTATTTAAATCTTTGAATATTAGTACTGTAGTATGTCAACAAGACGACAAAGCAGTGGCGGTACTGGATGGCCAAGATATGGAACACAGACAGCAACTTATCCAGATGAAAAGAACTCATTACCTTTGAAACGAATGATCAGTCTGTATCCTCTCACAAATTATACTTTTGGAACTAAAGAACCATTGTTTGAGAGAGATACAAGTGTTCAATTGAGGTGAATTGTAAATTCTGAAATTGATTCGGGAATTTTATCCTAAATCAGTAAATAGTTTATATATCAGTTTTGATCAGCCTTTTAGTTGTTTCATTAATTCTGCATTTCTTGACCCTAAATATTGGTATTCATATCTAAGAAACCAACAATAATCTGATGGAGGGCTTGCTTGTTCAGAGCTAACTGATTCTCAAACAGCAAGAACATTGACTACCACTTTTAGCAGAATAATATTATGAAAACTTTTGTTTGTCCAGCAACCAAGTAAATTTTTAGCAGGGATATACAAAATGAACCGGTTACAGTATTCGAATATGTTCGAAATTAATTTTGTTTAATATTCCTTTTTTTTTTTCAGAATGATTTCATTCAAAAAATTTACAAATAAACTAAAAATCATATTCCGAATCCTGATAACATTTTAAATATAAAATCAATCTGAACAATATTTAGCTGGGTATTATTCTGTGTTTTCAAATTTGTGATTCAAAGATTTCTTATATTGAGACTGAAGTAGGAATAACATGATTTATACTCAATTTTTACATAACGATGCTGCAGTTGAAAACTGTTGTTAAAAATGTTCCACAAGGTTATTTTATTAAAATAGATGAACAGTTTGTTAACATATCGTGTAACTGAATGCAAAAATTGTTCAACTTTTTATTTTATAGCAACTCTTTTTATTTTGAACCCATTCACACTTGTCTTTGAATATGGCTAGAATGAGTTCAGTTAAATTTTTTTTTTTATATTTATTTATCACCCAAACTCAGATCAGGCTTTTTAATGAACTACGGTAGGTCTCCAAGGATCATTGCAATGGCTAAATGTTGTTACAAGTTTTATTATATTTTTCACTGTTAAGATTTCAACGTATGAGGGAAGAATTTGATAAATGTGGTCAAAGAAGATCAGTTGAAGGAGTTTTAATTGTTCATGAACATGGATTACCACATGTATTGCTGCTGCAACTTGGAACAACTTTCTTTAAATTGCCTGGTGGCGAATTACACCCTGGAGAAGACCAAGTTTCGGGATTGAAAAGGTAGCATGTGTATTTCATTTAATTCATCGAATTACAGAGTGTTGTGGGATAAATTATTTCCACATTTCTAGTACATCTATCAGAGAGGATTTAACACGCTTTGAACAGGCATCTGATTGCGATGTTATTGTTTCCATTTCACTAAATGTATTTCTGCTCGCTCCATCTTGGTTGAAATGTGAAATTCTGTTTATGCGTTTTAAAGACTGGGGCCTAGTTTTCTTCTTACTCCACCTTGGAAAAGTGTTTATTGAGTAGTCTTATTTAAAAGATCTCTTTCCTACAATATTGCAGTATCAATTCCAAGTCATGTCATTTCATCTGGAATATTTATGTAGCCTGTAGTTGATTGGTGTTCACCTTGTCAAAAATAGTGTTGCTTTGCAAATTGCAACTAAACAATTGTTTTCAATAATTGCTCAACGACTTGCATTGTTTCTGGGAGATATATTGTGCATCATATTGTTTGGTTCCAGATATCTTAAAATTGACAACTTGAAACTGTTTAAAGTCTTGCGTCAACCAGGATTTACAAGCATGCAATGCACTGCCAGACTGCCACAATTTTTTATGATTTGAGACTTTGAGTAGCTTTTGGCATTTAGGTAGTTGGTTACCCTTGACTTTGCTCGGGGGTCACTTTACTTTATTTTTGAGTGAATGCATGTTTCCATTCTATTGTCTTAGATTAATGACAGAGACCCTGGGAAGACAAGATGGAATAGCACAAGACTGGTTGATTGAGGATTGCATTGGGAATTGGTGGCGTCCTAATTTTGAACCACCGCTTTATCCGTATATTCCCGCGCATATCACAAAACCGAAAGAACATAAGAAGCTGTTTTTGGTACAGCTTGGAGAAAAGGCTCTCTTTGCTGTCCCAAGGAATTACAAACTAGTTGCCGCACCACTTTTTGAGCTTTATGATAATTCGCCAGGTTATGGTCCAGTGATTTCAAGCTTGCCACAGCTTTTAAGTAGATTCAATTTTGTGTACAACTGAATTGAAATGCGGCTCTCCTACTATTTGAAGGTATCAATGCAGAATAAATTGTTTGAAACTGACCTGAACAGAACTGAAAAGGGGGCTATGGATGAGAACTCTTGACGGGTGGGAAATTACCATCAATAGTTGTGCACATTTCAGAATTGTCTGTGTAACCAGATAGTCCAGATTTCTGAATTCCCAAATTGTGATTTCTTACAAATACGATTTTTACTATTAAAATGATGATTAAAATTATCTGAGAAAGGAAAATTTGTAACACATGTTTTTAATAATCATTGTTGACTTTTTTTTTTATCTTTTTGTGTCTTGTATGTTATCTTGAGGAACAATTAATGTTTCAATGAGCTATATGTCGACTTGACTTATTTATGTATAAATGTAAGATGCCAGTTCTATACAAAACATGAGGTGGCATTTCACTATACTAATTATCATGTACACACAAAAGAAAGTATGTTGAACTGCAGGTTAATTCTCGTCGATTTCGAATTTGTTTGTGCCGATGCCATTTGAGCACCAAGTATATGTTGATTTCCCGCGAAAAAATCATACACAAACAATGACCACACAGAAGATTGGGAAAATCGGGAAACTGGCAAAGCCTTTAGAAAGGTTCAATACATGCGCCAGTTTACCCACATTCAACACACAAACATATATTCAAAATAAAAAAGACACGAACGGGTATCGTTCGGGCGCCGAACTTGTGTAACATAAACACCCGGTGGGTCCCAATTAAAAAATTACTTTGATAGGGTGAAATGCATGGCTATGGTATGTGTATCACACCAGTGCTTTTTCTACAAAAATATGGAACAAAAAACACTCGTTGACGTAAAATGGTGATGATGTAATTCAATTTCATTGCAAAAATGGCCCAGTGACAAAAATTGTTACTAAAAACAAGAGAGCTATGCTCAAATATATGGACATCTACCCAATGACAATAATTTGGATGACGTCATAGCGAAAAAAAAAGTAATAGCCTTCTGGAGAAAAATTTTATCTTTAACCACTGAAAATTTCAAAGCAATTGGTCCAGTATTCGAAGAGAAAAGTGACTTTTTAAAAACGTGTCAAAGAACAACAACAACATAATATTGAAACGATCGTTATGTCCACTACGTGTCCAAAAACAAGATCTGTAAATAGATAGAATGTGTCATAACAGTCTATGCACAAACATGGGTTGGGGAATCACACATGTGCTTGTGAATATTATGGTGATGCTGTAGTTTAATTTGATTGCGAAAATAACGCAGTGACAAAAAAATTGTTACTAAAAAAACAAGCGCTTAAATTGATTGAATGTTTCATAACAGTCTATGCACAAACATTGTGTAACATAAACACCCGGTGGGTCCCAATTAAAAAATTACTTTGATAGGGTGAAATGCGTGGCTATGGTATGTGTATCACACCAGTGCTTTTTCTACAAAAATATGGAACAAAAAACACTCGTTGACGTAAGATGGTGATGATGTAGTTCAATTTCATTGCAAAAATGGCCCAGTGACAAAAATTGTTACTAAAAACAAGAGAGCTATGCTCAAATATATGGACACGTACCCAATGACAATAATTTTGATGACGTCATAGCGAAAAAAAAAGTAATAGCCTTCTGGAGGAAAAATTTTATCTTTAACCACTGAAAATTTCAAAGCAATTGGTCCAGTATTCCAAGAGAAAAGTGACTTTTTAAAAACGTGTCAAAGAACAACAACAACAACATAATATTGAAACGATCGTTATGTCCACTACGTGTCCAAAAACAAGATCTGTAAATAGATAGAATGTGTCATAACAGTCTATGCACAAACATGGGTTGGAGAATCACACATGTGCTTGTGAATATTATGGTGATGCTGTAGTTTAATTTGATTGCGAAAATAACGCAGTGACAAAAAAATTGTTACTAAAAAAACAAGCGCTTAAATTGATTGAATGTTTCATAACAGTCTATGCACAAACATGGGGTGGGGTATCACACATGTGCTTGTGAATATTATGGTGATGCTGTAGTTTAATTTGATTGCGAAAATAACGCAGTGACAAAAAAATTGTTACTAAAAAAACAAGCGCTTTAAATTAATTGAATGTTTCATAACAGTCTATGCACAAACATGGGTTGGGGTATCACACGTGTGCTTGTGTGCTCATTATTATTCTCATGGCTGTACACACTGGTGTTGGGAGACTCCGGTGTTTCCCAAACTGTGTGTGTGGCGCGAGGGATTTTCAATTGTGCTGCGGAGGTTTTTGGAAAATAAGCTGTTTGTAATACACATAGGCATGCATGCGAGGGGCAAGCTTGTGAGACTTGAGTATCCATATTTAATTAGACTGAGAGTATTGCATTTGCCCTGTGGTTGTAGTAAGAGGGATTGTTTCGGCATAACTGTATTGCGATGTCTTTGTAAAGTAAACAAGACGTCCACCTTCCACCATGTTGACTTGCGCGCTCAGTTAGGCAACAGGAAAGCAAGTTTGGACGAGTTCTGGCTATCTGCATGTTTTCAAATTATATTCAATCATATGTGCAAAAACCATCTAGTCATTTGCATCGCCATGGCTCTGTTAACACGTATTTTTTGCTCTGATTGAAATTAAAAGCAAAAAGGTGGCGACGGAACTTTGTTTCTCAAATCTGACTCGCATTAACATTGTTGCAGAATATCTTGTTTAAGGTCAGCTTTATTTTTTCACAAGTGTGCTTCAAGATTTTTTTTTATTTGCTTAGTGCGCTGCGAGCAAAAAAAGTTTGAGAACCACTGCTCAGACAGATGTTTCAAAGACTCACTCTAGTCATCAAAACAAAATGACTTGAACTTGTACTCGACTCACCGCTTGAAAGACCCGACCTAAAAGGATTAGACTCTTAAGATAATTCTGAGAGTCTTGGATTAGATGAAAAATCCAGCTGAATAATATTTATTCTGTCCATTAATGCTGTAGTGTAAAAAAATCAATAATTCTTTATCTTGTTGCAGCAGTAATGCGAAATAGACGGTGTTGATTCCAATATAATGTTGTTGGGAATAAAATGCCAGGATTTTAACATTCATCCCGGGAGCGGTCGATTTGGCGAATTAATTTTATGGCAAGCTGGGGTCTCTTAACCACTAATGGCCCATGTCGTAATTTTACGTAGTTAACCAGTTAAATACTTCAAAAGAATTGACTCGATGGCAGAGGAACGCCAGATCATGCACGCGGAGTGAAATAATCTGGCCCGCAACGCTTCACTGAATTATAGTAACAAAACGACTGTTTTGACGATTAAAAAACCTAGCAAGTATTCAATTCACAACTAGTCGTTAAATAAGCATATTATTTAATTATATTTAGACAAATGGCAACAAAACGCAGAATTGAACGATAAGTGCAAAAGGTATAGGGGCACAGGAAATATCCAAATGATATTTTTTGAGATACAACGCAATGAGAAAATAATTGTATATTACATTCGAGAAATGTGTCACTGCTAGATTTTTAAAATGAGTATCTTCTGGAAGGAAATCTCTATTCAAATTTGACAAATCATGCGAAAAATTTCATATCGATGTTTGGAAGCTCAGACCAGAGGCGTAGCTTAGGGGGGGGGGGGGGGGGGGGGGCAGTGGGGGTACAAATGTCCCCGGGCGCCAAGGTACAGGGGCGCAATTCACAAGGGTAAAAAACGGTCATAAGCAAGATCGCACCGGCGGCAGACATCTAGTCTTAGTACATGGCAAACTGCACACTTGGTCAGACGACTGCCGACGTCATCACGCACATAGCTCGCGCACGGTCAGATTTCCATCGTAATAACATGGCCAAAAAATCTGGCCGGGAAACAAAGCAAAATTTGATTTGGTACCGTTATGCAACAAAATGTAAAACGTGGTTCTGTATCGTTAAGTTCTTGCCTGCGCACTCCGATGTAAGTTGATATTAGTACTGTGCTGGAGACAAGTGGAAACGAAATTTGGGGAATGATGTTAATACATGTTTTGAGTAATACGTAGTTTTGTATTTCGTTGTTGTCAAAGTAAGTTTTACCTAATCTGCGAATCTCTCTACAAATTTTGTTAACAATACCAGTTTCAATTGTAAGCTGTGAACGGTCTTTCAGCAAATTGAAACTTATTTTGTCGTATTCGCGTGCATCAACGGGACAGGATCGTCTCAGTGATCTTGCACTTCTATGTGTTGAAAGAGAAACATTGGAAAAAAAACAGATTTTGATAACGTGTTAACCAGTTTACGACAGTGAAATTGAAAAAATGAATTTATTGTAGACTATGTAAATCATCTTTGACAGTAACTGAGTAGGACATATGCTCTATTTTGTATAGCTTTGCTTCTTCTTTAAATAAAATGTTCCATTAAAATTTGAATTTACATATACATATATTTTTGAATAAATAATAAAATATATAAAGATATATAAATTTGAATTCACTTATCGTCACGCTAAAAACCGAATTGCGTAAGTCATTTTTGGCGGTTTTGAGTTTTTCATAAAATAGGTATTTATGTAATGCTGCGCACCTGTCTGTTAACTCAGATTTTATTTTAAGAATTTCGAAACCCATAAAAATAGAGATTTTGTATGATATGCATATTTGTTCAATTGTTCCGTCATAATGAATTATCATTGTTAACGCAGGACTATTGTGACGTCACAAAGGCAAAATAACCTCAGCGAAGGATTTTCGAGTTTTTGCATCTCAGATTCTAGCTTGGCGCCAATAATTTTCAATTTATACTACTGTATAGGAAGGCGTGCACTTGTGATATTCACTGTCTGAGTCCAATTCACCTTGGTTCACTTTTATATAAGTGAACCAATTCACTCACTTTTATATATTTTTACTGTTTTATTCTTTATATTTAACTTTAGTCTTATTTCGGTGGATGTGCAGAGCGTGTTATATTGATGAAATATATATTTTTAAACATAAAAAATAATGTAATTGAAACAGATTAGCTATTTTGGGGATTTTGGATTGTTTGGTTTTCAAGACTGGTACATATAGTCAAGTTGCAAAATTGCGTATGTGCCCTAGTCATAGACACATTTTTTCCTAAGTCACAGTGCGCCATTATGACGTCACATGACTGCGTCATACAAACTAACTTAAATCCGTCTACGATCAAAAAGTTGAACTATGGCAAATTAATGGCATAGCAGTATCATTAAGAAGTTTTTTTTACGTTTTCCTCAAAACAGCTAAAAATGACTTACGCAATTCGGTTATTAGCGTGACGATATATAATTTGTTTTTACATATACAATTAAATGCAATAGAAAACATGATTAAACGTGAGGGTCGGGGCGCCAATTTTATATTTTGCCCCGGGCGCAAAATATCCTGGCTACGCCTCTGGCTCAGACGCATGCGCACAATTATTGGACACGTAGTGGACATAACGATCGTTTTGTTGTTCTTGTTCTTTGACACGTTTTGAAGAAATTGCTTTTCTCTTTGATTACTGGACCAATTGCTTTGAAAAAGATGAAAATTTTCTTCAGAAGGCTATTACTTTTTTGCTATGACGTCATCAAAATTATTGCCATTAGGTGGCGCTACATGTTCATATATTTGAGCCTAGCTCTCTTGTTTTCGAAATGAACGTTGCCAAAAAAAGCTCAGAACTCGGATTATTAATTTCTATTTATAAAATATTCTAATCTTGACTTTCACCAGTGTCCCATTTAATGATGCCGAAAACCTATCGAGCGTGATGCAACAAATACAGTCACATTAAATATCATTTGTAAGTTTTTTTTTAAGTGAGACGACTAAGTTGAGTTCAAGAATTGTTGCGGTTTTCACGCGCTGCTTGAAATTCAACTCCTGATCTGTGTGGAAAATAGCGATTCATCGGCCATCCGTTCAGTTTTTAACTTTCCAAATTTGTGCGGGCCGCCAAGACTTGCAAGTTGCAACCCTTAATTTTGGCCCGCGAGCGACTAAGAGTTGCCGACCCCTTGTTTACAGTGTCAAAATCTTTAGTCAAGTTTAAAAGTCAGTACTGTATAGTCTGTTAAGCCATTGTCTTAGGTGGGCTGGCGCAATTTAGGTACCGATATTGCTGATCGTTTCTATACTGTTAAAAGCATGTTGGTTCATAGTCATACCAAAGATTAGAAAATAAGATTACGGTATTTGCCTTACTGTTTCTTCAATATTGGACAGTTTTTATATCCCCTCGTATTGTAAAAGGTAAGGTAGACTGCTGCTTCGCTTTTCTTGTCGATATATTTGAGCATCGCTTTTTTTTCGAATCTGTTCGTTAAGCGGCGTCTACTGGCCAGTGGCCACACAAGAATAAATTGAAGAGCAGCTCAGATCGCGTCTGTGGTTTCTCCTGCGTAATCAGGTATAGCACTTTGGGTCGTTTGAACAATGTGTATATTTCTCGTTGCTAACTCTTATTCGATCCGATTTAGGTTGTTAAAGTCACTCCGAGAGGATGAAAACCAATTTAAAAAGGTACAAACAAAACCTAGATACTAAGTGCCTAAAACATTATCGCTCTCGACACGGAAGAAAAAAATTGACAATATGGTGCAATCCCTGAAATTACAGTAATTAAGTTCTTAAATCGTAAATATGTATACCATGCATTATAAAACGAAGTTGATTGAATATTCACATTACAGTATGAAATATGAGTACAAGTATGAAATGGCAGGGACGTAGCCAGAAATGTTCAAAGGGGGGGTTCTGACATTTTTTGTTTGTCAAGCTAGATCGAAACAGCTAGCTGGTCCGATCGAACGCTGAAATAAACGTGTTTTTAGTAGTCTTTGGGGTCTAAAAAGCATTTCAAGCTACGGGAAAGGGCTACCTATGATACAGAAAAATGATTTTTTTTCCTCAAAAAGGGGAGGGGGATTCGACCCGGAAACTACCCCCTGGCTACGCCACTGTGAAATGGTACCTTACAATTTGTGTCAAGTATATAATAAATGAAGTCATTTTTGACATATATTTACACCCACGAAACAAGGCTGGTGAATACGTATGACTCAGCAGGCATAATATTAATGTGATACGCGATGCAAACATTCCAAAACGTGAACATTCGTTGTGCGCTTGCAAGTGATTCTGCAGACATTAGGTTTTTACGACATCTCATGCAAACTAGAAGCTTTCCGAAACAGAAGCATCCATTTCTTATGTGTGCATGATTATGATATTTTCAATGAAATGACAAAATTTGAACAAAACTATCTAATAACACCACGAACACGTGTCACATGCGGTTGTCTTCAAACAAAATATTTGCAGTTAACTAAACACTGGATCAGTAGTCCAACTATCGTTTAAATCAATGCAGCAATCAAACATTTTTATCTTCGTTGAAAGAGTATTTCATCTAGTTTACTTGCGTATTTTCTTTCTTAGAAATTTATTTTTGTAGTAATAAATCCGTACGTATTCCTGATTAATATACGTTGATGATCAATGTACGATATTAATGAAATGAAAATTTTACTAATGATATACCGTATTTGCTCGTTTTATAGCCCGGGCCCATATTTTTTTCAACCAAACTCACTAACCGGGCCTTTATTCAAACCGGCCCTTGTTATTTTTAAAGTAAAATTACACACAAAAATATTTAAAAAAAAAACATATATGGATAAGATAGATCGTTACAATAATTAATATATTGTCATTTCCAGTTCTCAAGTATGATTTAAACGAGAATAACGAAAATTTTCACTTTTTCTACGCACCGCAGGTACAAATCCGCAAAAAAAAATAATTTGCGACGCCCTATCAATATTGAAACGACGGACTTGGCGTCGCGACGGCCAGTTTGAGAACCACGGTGTCACGTAATCAGGACGCCTAAGCGTTGTGACAAAAGCGCTTTTTATTTCCCATTGTTCTCTACCACTAAAAATCAGCTTTTACATCGGGCGGGTATTGACGCACCGGCCCTTATTTATTTTTATGTTCTGTTCACACTGGGCGGCTATTCAAACGGCCCCCGAATCAAGATCGGGCGGTAAAACGAGCATATACGGTATATAAGTGAATTACTTATGATTTGAATATGAAACAAACGATTAAAAGATTTAACTTTGGTCATGCCGCCCGGAATATGTCATAAATATGATCGTGCACTCATATTTCCGTCCTATCAGTAGGGATGGCGGAATCGAGTCCGGATTTGATTACAGAATCGATTCTTCGCGGAATCGACTAGAATCGATTCCGATGCACCGGAGTCGATTCTCGAGTTTGAAACTTGGATTGCAAACAATGTGTAACGTTTTGTGGCAATTTCTTCACATATATATATATGTATAAACTGCTTCACTGCTATGTTGAGTTGCTACGACACCGCAAACCTCACTATATATAATATATATATATTATAAATATCGCTAGTAGGCTTTAACGTTTATTTATTTTAAAAATCTCTGTGGGTTCTGAGGGATTCGTTTTTTTTTGTGCGGTTTTGTCTCATGTGGCAGATTGGATACCCATACTACTTAGTTTCGGCCCTCTTGTCCGTCCAGAATTTGAACATCGCTGTCTTGCTTGATTTCATATGGTATTGCTTGGGTGGGTATATTTTTTCGGTATCGAGATTCGGAATCAGAATCGAAAATTTAGGAATTGGATAAGAATCGAATACTTGTAAGTACTCATACTTGGCATCCTGACCTATCAGCCGATATAATAAGGGAATCATGTCTTAATCATAGAAAAGTACCATATCATTCATACAGTTAATGTTGTTGTCACTGTTTCTGGCATCCCACGCTTTTTTGTAAGCTTATGCTGTGCTTCTATTTTTATTCGTTTGTTTTGTATCCAAACATGCACTATTGACATTCGCTCTGAACGATTCGAAAAATTGCAAATAACGCAGCATGTTTGGATAATCAAATTGATGTCATATATCATATTTCCGATGACCTCGTCATCAAATGATAATACAACAACTACTAGTATGACTGTCAGAACATGTGATGCAATGCATATGAGAGTCAAAATTAAAGCTCTTTTAATAAGCTTAACTCCTCGTTTAGCATTTTCATCTAATTGTGAGTTTTTTCCATGTAGGTGAATTGGGTAGCTCAACATACCCAGCAAAGTTATTTGTCCAAATGATGTGGATGCAACGAAAATACCATGCTTGATGTATTGCTCCGTTCTCCCGAGGCAAGTTTTTTTGAAAAGACAGAGGGTATATTCTGGCGTCCGAGTGCTGATGAAAATACCTGAAATTAGACGTTCAAGTATTTTACGTTGATTATAAAAACAACTTTTCGTGTTCGTGTTTGCTTTAAGCTAGGTCATTATCGCTTACCTACAAAAATTTAGGTATAGCTGAGTTATCGGTAGAGTAGTAATGGATCACCAGCTTGCCTCACCAACAGTTTAAGCCAGCTAAACGTTTCCAATCTATGTATAGATTTTCAGTGAATGTGTTGAAATCGTATAAATATTCTAAATAGTTATAAGTTGCTATTACCGTAGCCAGAAAAAGTTCTCTCACCGGCACTAAGCACACACAATCCTAGAAGTAGGATAAAGTACAAGTTATTCCCGACGAGGCAATATTTTGGAAAGTAAGTCTTCATTGTAGGTAGATTGTAAAACGCTCTTTGCCTTGAATATAAAAGTATGTAGATGCAAGACTGTCCGATAGAAAATATTGAATACTTTAGCAGAACCAAAACAGAGTAAGCTTTGTAATGTATGGGTCCGGATATAGCGGATTTTGTTAAGTCCACGTACACCACTAAACAGGAACAGACACATGTTATTGCAAGCAGAATGTCCATAACTTTCAGGTAAAGTACATCGGATGAAGATTTCCGGGTCAGAGATTTCCTGCCGCATTTAAACATATACAAATAGGTGGATACGGATATATAAGTTATGAGAACACCAAAACATGAAAGAACCGGTATGACCCATTTTGGCGAATCAAACTTCACTGTTAGGTCCACGCCACCCGTGCTGTTGATAATGCTCCCCGTTCCATCAGTGGTGTTGAATATGGTAGACGACGCGTTCATACTGATATTCTTGCTAGATTCCAGTCTTCTATCATCTTCATACTAATATCTAAACTTAACATTCTGGTCTGTGTAAATCTAAATGTAGAATGCGCATAGTAATAATAATAATTGCGCTGTATATCAGTACAATCGGCTGGCTAAACTTTCAAATCAAATTAACGATCCAACGTGAGCAAAAAAGCATATCTGGTGCTAGAATTATGAAGCAATCTTAATTTTTAAACTCAATATTTACTCCACCTTCTATAATTTATTTGCTCTAAGTTTAGAAAACGATAGTTACTAGGGCCTGGAATTCCACTCTTTCAAGAATTTTTATCAGTTTTTGACCTAATTTGGAATGAGTAAATAATCCCCATATGTAGAACACATAAAGAAAAAAACACCATATATTGATACAAGTGGGAAGAACAAGTGGGTTGTCTCTCAGCTGGTCAAGAACCTCGCAGAATCATGCTTGGCTTTAGCGAAGTTAACAACTAAACGCATTGTTAAGTGAAGGCATGTTTGAAGATGCGTATCTTTTATTTCATCACATTCATAAAAATATATCTCAGTTTCTCTAACAATACCTAATTTATAATACCTAAAGTTAATTTAACACAATGATAGCATGATCTACTGAACCAACTTTAGCTTTTTCGAAGCTACTGAGGATAAAAAAACAAAAAAAAAGTTTTTGCTTTTACTTTATAAATTGTAATATTAATATGAGACTATATGACATTTAAAAACTGCATTCATTATACGAATCAATTAGTTACCAGCCAATTTCAGTTCATCATTCCGAATACCAATACTCCGTTTGGCGTCGATTGCTTTAAAATGGGTAGCCCAAACGCATATTTAGGATCTGAACAGCTCTCTTAATGCACCACTAATCCTATTCGTTCTTTCTGAGAATTGCAGTATGGTACCCTTCGTACTAATAATCTCCAAGATACCATTTATATGCTATATCACGACGTGTCGGATCCTGAACAAAAGTAATTTCGTCTCACCTGTTTATCATTCGCTGAGCTCATCGGACGCACAAATCATGAATGTTCGGATTGACTCATCATGCTCATCGGCGCTTATACCAAAAACATACCAACCTAACGACTCAATTGCTTAAATGATTTAATGATGGTTTGTGAAAGATCCTTCTATACTCTCCGATTTCGTGCACGGTAAATTATTTCCGCCTGTAAATTGATATCTGCCCACGTTCAATCGTCCCACTTTCAACAAATGTACACTATGTATACCAGTCGGATTGTTTTGATAACATATGTCGCATAGTGTCAAACGTTAGTGAAAACTGAATGTTCGTTGGTGTAAACTGAATAGTAATTACTCTTTGAAAGCCCAAAGTCTTTATCAAATCAGAAATAAAATAATTTGATTCCGTACACATGTCACAAAAAACTTTGCAGAAATTTAGATGGACAAAACGCGAACTTTTTGTACTTTATGGGTCACAGACTCACATGTTATATTTGTATCATGGAAAAAAGAATTTTAGTCACAGATTTGAATATTATTTGAATCGATGAGAAACTTACTGTTGTATTTTGCAGCAAGTGTAATATCATGTTAGTGTGTAAATATGAACACTATAACTTAACACTTAATTAATAATTTATGTTTTGTTACATCATATTAGGTCTTTTACGTCACATCACGCAAACAATTAGTACAGCAGTAACGTGTAATAGATGTTTCCCCGACCTTTGACCCCATGAGAATTCATTCTATGGACCTTTCCCCGAACATCGACTTCCTTGTTTACTTCGTGACATTGGCTAATCAGCAAGCACAAAGTGACGTACAATGCTCCCTTTTCGTATCCGCCCAGACACTTTTCTCACTCAGACAGATTTTCAAGCGTGGTCGTAAGCATTACCTCGTTTTTGCATTTTTGAACTCTACTCGCTAGTTTTCAGTTGTGTTTCGGAAACTTAATTGTAAATGAGATAACGCAGTGATCACTCTGTCCTCCTAGGAGTTTTAATTTATTTGCAGTAATAAAAATTAGTGTAGAAAAAGCTGTAATAGACTAGGCTAAAAAATTTTACCGGTACTTTTAAAAAACAGATTGTTGTATGCGATGAATCATAATGATGGTTTAAAACCCCATCTTACAGGCGCCAACTCGCCAAAGCACTCTTAAAATAGCCCCAAAAATTTTGCAAGTATAGAAAGAATTTTCGGGGTTAAAGGTCGGGGAAAGCTCCATACCTTTCCAATAATAAAATTTGTATTGAATTGCTATGAATACTTTTATAATTTCACAAAAACATATTTCATATAATTTCTTTGCAGTTCTGTAAACATCCGCGTCGTGTTGTGAATATATTAGCCGTTAGCCGTTAATCGAGTAAAATTAACCGGTCAACCGCGGCGTGACGTTCCACGTAATAATTTATCATTTCAGCTTGTTACGTCACAATGGTTACAAATAAATTTCGCTTAATCCTTTACCGGTATCGCTCAAAATTATTCACGAATCTAGATATTTTTATAATCGCTCTGCTGTAAGAGATATGCAGCGTGGTTCGAAAATATGGCAGTATTTTAGTAAAACCCGATTCCGTTATTAAATGTCATTTATGTGACAAATTTTCAGTGTTTGATGTGCGAATTCTACTTTGAGATATCATAAAGAAAACAGCATCAACAGCGCACTTGTTGGATGGCATTGAATATACAATTTGGCAATAAAATCGTGAACAATATATTTCGAGCGAAAACTGATTCTCAATTTATCAAATTTTGCATAATCAGCAATTTTGAGTCCTTACCAATACAGTTGGGAATATTCTTTTGAACTAAACGCCACAGAAGATGAATTTGTGATGACGTAATCATTTCTGAAGGAAATTGTACATCATAAAGATGATTTGTACCAGAGATGTCAGTTAACGGTGAAAATAAATCGTACATGTTAACTATCTAAAATCGGTTAACCGATTAACCATTCCCAGCCCTACTGGTACAATTTGGTGGCATTTTGACATTCCGGTTAACTCATTTGTATGTTAGGATATTATTGGCAATATGATGAAGATATTTTCTCATGTAAGAACTTTGATAATTTTATCAAAACATCTGTATCTTGATTAATTTCAACAAAATAAAATAACGAGAATATTGGTCAGATACCGAAGACTTATCGATCGAAAGTTAGGGATCCCCCAAAAGAGCGCTCTTACTCCATAGTGACACCTTGTGTCCCATCACCAATTAATTAATAACTCGGTAAATATACGACATAATTCATCCAATAAATAAATCAATCAATAGGCTTCTGGTCCGACATATGATGAATGCACATGCAAAATCAGAAGCAGATTCAATCTCGCTTTCGTGAGATATCGCGTGCATCTAACAGACAGACAGACAGACAAGTACCTATCAACATACTCACCGATTAAAATCGATAAGTAATAATTTAAATACAGTACTGGTGATCGTTATTGATATGTTGTTTATACGAAATATTGAACTGAGAAGTTGATCTCCACCGACCTCTTCTTTTTAATATAAACGTGTGTCATCGACATGTGTGGAAAGTATGCAAGTGATCTTTGCTATTTAAATGTTTATAAATAATTAAGTATTATTAATTCGCATTTCTTCATCTGCAATACTAATAAATGTCTTTATGCCAAACTTATGTGAAAACATATATAATGTTCAGTGCGTATATGGTATGTTGTTGCTCTTCTCTGCTTTCATGGGGCAATGCACCTTTATACGTGATGAAAATAGTCAAACACAGTAATATTTAATTTTCAAAATGAGGTTCATGTGACTGTATCAAACTCGTTTTGACACATTTAAATAATTATCAATATATGGCTACTGTTAGCACAGTATTCTTCAGTGTTAGGAACAGAGTTGCAGATATTGAACTATGTTTGTTTATAGTGCTCGGGTTTATAGTGGATAAATCCCAATGACTAAAATGCAAAGAGTTATATATTCAATATTCAGTAAAGCCATATTAAAGAAAGATAACTTCTGTCAAACTTCACTTTTTTGCACTCGTCTTGTGTCTTACGACTTACGAGCAACAGTCTAGTCATATAGGTGTTAATATTGCGTCGCAAGGATAACCGCAGCCAGCGGTGGGAGTGAGGCGTGTCTACTCTTAGAGTTGAATGTACTTATTTCGCAGTCGTGAGATAGTGCCACCGCGGAGCCACAGCCATGCGCACGTAAACCAGTCGTGGTTGTGGCAAGTACTGCAGAGCGTAGCATACGAGTAACCGCCAGGACGTGGCTAAGACTGTCAGATAATTAAATTCTTTTTCCAATGCATTGTTGTATTCGTTATTCGTCGTAATTTCAGGATATTTAGCTTGCTTTTCATTCGAAGGTTCACGCCCCCTGACCTATCTTCACACCCAGCTAGGAGTGCGCGCCTCCTAGTTTAAAAACCACTGCTCTTGACCTAGAGCATCGACAATGAAACAGGTAGATGTATGTGTTATTCGGCAATTGAATACTAAGTTTGAAATTCTAATATTATCGGAACCAATGCCGTCGGCATTAATTAAAAAGAGATTACATAAAACAGACTTCTTTTCATTGGCATGCGTCATCAAATATAGTGTATATATTTTAAGTTGACGGAATTCCACTTTCGCGCTTGATCATGCAAAATTGGATGTAAATGTTTTAAAACACTATAACATTATTATAATAAAATTTTACTACACAAATCTACTGATACGAATTGAACAAGGTTTTTAGAATTTACCGCGATAAATCGCGAATCAAATAATATTGGAATATTGTCTCCCGAAAATCTGTAGGACTAAATACGTACTTTCGTTGGCAAACACGCTGCTACTGTAGGTAGAGTACCTGCGACGTGTAATTACGTCTTACTTCATATATATTAATATAAACCGCAAAGGGCCTGCCGTGGCTGTGTGAGTTGTTGAACTCTTTCAGTAAACGTATGATCAATGCGCACTTTCACGAACAAATTAGCGTAAAAAAGCGATGCTCTTAACTGGAGACGTTGCATAATTTTTCCCTTTGAATGCCCTGCAGAACACCGACTTCTTGGTGTCAGAATAACAAAGGCTTCGCGATCCCATATCATAAAAAAACAGCGAAAATCCTTAATGCTTTAAAGTTGAACTACATCGTTGAGTGTTATAGTAGTGGGATTCAGGAATTTGAACGGGTTCACGCAAACCCTTTTTCAAAATATCGTGATAATCAACAAACGCGTTACTGTTTTTAGTTTCACACGACTAGCGTTTTACTCGACGTTCCGAAAATTATCATTGAACTTATGTAAAGCTTTTCATGTCAATGTAGCTTACGTAATGAGATCAAATATAAACAGGGTTGAGATTTTTAAAATTTTAAGATCATGTTCTCGTTTGTTTCGAACTTACCATTCACAGGTTTCCTCTTACCAGAAACGTATATATCATAACACACACGAGTAAAGTAAACTAATAAAAAAATTATCTCAATAACACGATCAAAATTCAAGCCGATTTACACCTAAAGGCAATCCCCAAAATTGACATAAATATTTTTGCAAGAATATGTATTTCTTCTATAATGGAACTCATTGATGAATACAACGTAGAATAATTACAAGTATTTTTTGTTTTCCTGAACATGGATTTTTATGGGAGCATTGAGTATGCACGTAGAAATATATTTTTGATATACGTATAAATTTATTGTTCATATTCATATTCTCTTTCAATGCAAGAATCGCATTCAGATACTTGGAGTGGCAAGTAGATGCCGTGGTCGTGAAGAGCTTTCCAAACATGTAGCACATCGTTTGCGGTCGGTACCGAGTTTCTAATGTATGGGCGTACATACCAATGGCCTGTAAAATTATGATATTTTAGGTTATGTTATCTGCAAGGACAGCCCTTTCATTTAATACAATTATGTAAAAAATATGCAGTAGGGATGGCATATGCAATATGGATGACACCAAAGCCTAGATAAATGAAAGCGATTCGAGCAATGACTTTGGAAACTTGAAAAGATGTCCCCTTCAAATTTTAACCGAGCACAATTTTTATATAGATTAACCAATTTAACATCTTTGTATCTATAAAACCCAACACTAAATACAACTCCCAATTGTAACATTTTTGGCAGATTTTCGACTATCGCGTAAATAAAATAAATAAATCTTATATGTAATGAGGATTGTTTCTAATTTATGAATGCTATTATAAATATATTACCATTCTTGTTGCAACGTATGACAATGACATAGTTCTCATAGTCGGTAATCTTGAATGGAGGCTGTTCGAGATGGATATGGATGTCTTAAAAACAAGACAGCGATGCTCAAGTATATGCACACAAAGTGGTAATCTCCCACGGTACCGTATCGTAGATCAGCAGCAGATTTGAACTTACCCGAAAGCTGAACCACCACAACGAGAGCAATTTTTAATTTTGATGACATCATCTCACACAAAAAAACGATGTTTCTTGCACTCATTCTGGGATTGTTTTAAATTTATTGATTATACTAAAAGAAGGATAGCCAGGCAGATTCCAAGCGCAGCATTTTTTTACCCGACGCAATTGAACATTTTTTTAATAGAAAGAAAAATTTGCCTGTATAGAATGAAGTTGAATATTGACTACATCACTATTAAACGCCAAATTAAGGGCAAACACAAAAAGTCACCTTCAAACTCTTTTCTCCAATTGATTCTTCCATCTTGTTCCACTAAGTCAGGTAGATCAATCTTTGCTACAAAATTGAATCAGGTTGCCAAATCATTTTTCAGTTGTGCGCATCAGAATATAAAAATAATTAGAATGGCTGTTTTTAGTTCAAAACTTTAATGTAAAATGATTGATATGTTAGCAAAATGAAAATTCGTGGCACAAGGAATGTTTCATGTACATAATGAGACACCAGTCGAAGAAATCCTCTTTGTATGTTTGCAATAATCTCTCGTACATAAAATAAGTCTGATATTCTTGAGTACCTATATATAAACAGTTTGAAAACTTTAACGACGTATTGAGTTACCTGCTACTCTTTCTAAAACTTCATAATATCCGTCGTTTACAGTAATAAAACGAAGTCGCACTGGGTTCTCCGGTTTGGTAGGTGTTCTGAAATATCAAACTTGGTGATTGTTGACGTCGAGTAACAGTAGTTTATATATCTAGAACCGGTATTAACTTCGACTCAAGGAATAGTTTAAAGAATAATAATATAATTTCAGATATATATCCGGAAAGGGAACAGTATGTGGTCAACCGTATGTTCAGTAATAATTTCTTTATTCAGGTCGTCGAATATTTTGCTATTTTTATCTTGTGCAAAATTCGAAGAATATTGAAAGAATAAATTTTACCACATAATACAAGATATTATAACAAAATGGCTTCAATTGTCATAATTCTGCATTGTTACGACAGGAAATTTAAAAGTCCTCACGCATGAAGGTATTTGACAAAAGTCCCTCTGTATCCGCCAATCACAGCCGTGATATTTGTCATAACGACACAAGCAACTTCCTTTGATGTTACACTTCCGTCGTTGAGCGAGAGGTAGAATGTCTTCCCTTCAAGCTGAAATAATTTTATATCAATTTTATGATTATTAACCTTGATTATTAGTTTCTGCGTTTATCACTAATTTCGAATTTATTTCATAGATATAAATTAGACATTTCAAATCCTTCAAATATAATCTATCTATATTATAGATTTGATATAGATTCTATATCCAAAGCATTGAGCATTCAATTGAAAGTCGGCTATACTTTTTAATCGTTTAAACTGTTATTGAAATTCGTTCGCAAATAATTAACGTTGAGGGAACAACCTTTGTCCAATTTATAGGCGGCGGCAATACTTCTGGATACTGGCATTTTTCATTGCGTCTTGGTTTACTTGTCTGGAACGAAAAATGCAACAAAGCCAAAAGTACAGCACAAAATAAACTTCTCATTTTCCAACGGTTTGAAACTCAGAAAATGATTTTAGACCCATGTAATACTAACTGTCCAAATGTACAGATTAGGAAAGTTTGTAGATGTTTATCTGTTATATACCGATAACTTAATAATTAATCTTTCTCAGTATGAACGCCGGCGGCAAATACTCATAGGTATTAAATGTAACTAGTTTTATGTCGACACATAAGAGCTAAAAACGTTATTGAAGTTTAAGCCATTTTAAATACTCAAAGAGTCAAAGTTAAAACAAGCAGTTACATGCATCAGACAAACGAAGCACAAAATTGAAAAGGTAAGTAAAAAAAAGAAAGTCCTATTTTATATCGTCCGGGACAATGATATGCGCTTCGTCGATACCGGAACAACTCAATAACTCAATTTGACAGTTGGCATGAATTGTCATAAGACTATCTGAAACCAGAGAAGAAAAGATCAAGGAAATAATATGTATAATAATATTATGTCGACGATACTCGTATGTCACTTTTTAAAGCTTGAAGAACAAAAACTCGGTTCCCATTTGTGCGATCTTGAATTTAATGCTGTTGTATTTTATAATTTTGTTTGGACACCTCGTGCAAGGATAAAAAACCATATATTTTGTAATTCAGCATAATAATAATTATATAATACGGATGTAGATTAAAAGTAAACAGACTAAGACGTAATTCCTAAGTTGTTTATCACGATTTGCGCGTTTGTTGTTTATCAACACACAGAACAAAGGCCCCGGGCGTGTGGAAAAGTCACCTGGTAAATATTTACGACATTTTGTGAGTTGATTTTTTTGTTATCTACTTAATCTAGCTGATGAACCCAAAACGCATTTCTTGTTTGTGTAAAACACAAATTATGTACATTTTGAAACAGCTTTAATATTTTGCACTTTTTAAAAAGGTATTGGAAAATCAGTGCTTTATTCACTACTGCAGCTACCATTCTTAATACTGTGTGAACTTGTGCTATGTGTTGGGTGCAATTTGGACAGATGCAATGAAAGAATAATAATTAACGTGTACCTTAGGTAATAAATACATTACTGTAATAAAGGAAGAGTTCTTGAACCCCCGTGACAGTCGTATTTGGATATTTTCCTGCTGCTGCTCCACTGCATTTGTCGTATTTTAAGTCATCAAACAAGCATAAAGTTTTGTTAAATTGATGTGTCACTATCGCTATAATAATATGTATTTTCTGCTATCCAGATAGCGAAATATTACATCATTTTGTTTACAAAAATTAGATTTGTGGCTAAGCACAAATTTCAAGTTGTGTTGGTCGGTCTGCACTGATGGAGCATTTCTCACCGACCAACAAAAATTATACTTCAACATGTAAACCGATAGGAAAAGCCAACAGCTAGAACTCTAATGCTAAAATCGTGTCATTGTCGCAAATGAACAAACTATGGATTGGTAATTCACATCACCCATATTGTAGAAGATCGGGTGATATGGTATACGCTGAACCAAAATAGCTGAGCCCGAGTTTGCTTAATAGCACTTTGGGATCCGTTATGATTCTGGGGTAAGGGGGGTCCTCTATATTTCACCGTTAGGAGGAGAAAAGATTAAAAGATGAGCCGGCAAGCATGACGAAATGAAGTGTTACTATGTTCCATGAAAATATCCCCAATAAATGAAACAGCATAGTTTTAGGTGGAAAATAGGATCCGGACTCATAGGAAATATAAAGAAAAAAAATTTAGTTGTTTAGCGGTTTCAACTAAAAATTTGAAATCGATTGCGAAGAAAAGCGAATCTTCTCAACAACAACAAGAATTACAATTTATCTAAACGATCTATGTATACACTTCGTGACCAGTAAACTTTCTTGGAATGTTTTTGTTTATTGGACATCACTCAGTAAGCTCGCCAAACATTTTTATATCTAGTTTTATTTTTGCAGAATGACAAAAATGAGAAAATATAATCATCTTGCCCACTAATGAATATCGATGCGATAATCGACCTAATTTTCTAATGTATTTTATTTAATTTATTAAGTTAGGTTGGTGCTTTTCTGTTCGAGATCTACAAATTATAACTCTTACTAAATTACCAGTGTAAGCATTTTTGGTTGCAATGAGTTTGTGTTATTCCAAGCATTCACAGCATAATCAGAAGATTGATAGTACTAGCAAAGCAACACTCTTCATTACCAACAATTTCATAACACGGTCAATAGAACAGTAGAAGAGACTGAGTAAATAATAATATAATAAAAACAATGCTGCTGCTGTATCCCATTGCCCTATCAACGAAAAGCTATAATCATAGTTTACTGAATATAGCTCGCTCACCGTCGGTTCGCTACGCATGAGTGATGCGTTACTAGTTGACCGTACATTTGAACCCACGTACATTCGAACCCATGTGTATATCCGCGGGTTCAATCTATATGCGGGTGATAAATCCCATGAGTTAGGGTTAGTATGGGTTCAACTATCCGCAAAACAAAAAAGGTGCAATTGTATGCAGGTGCAATTATCGTGGGTTCAAATGTACGGGAACCTTACTACGTCATCAGTTTGTTATATTTTGAAGCTTACAAAAGAGGATTTCCATTTGAATTTATTTGCGTATTTGGAATGGTTTTGTTGGTTGAAATAAATGAAAAGATACACTGAGGCATTAGGATAAAGTAGGGGATCGTAGCATATGCCAGTCATCTCTGCGTCGGTACCCGGATGGACGGTATACAATACCGAATCCGGAGGATTCCAATACCTAGGACTTGGTTTCCGCCTCTTCGGCGCCGTGCGTCAATTTTTGTATTTCGGATTTATAATTTAGTAATCAGGAACGAGCGTTATTCTTTTGCGACGAAATCGGTCTCGCGTGATTATACTTGTGCTTTCTCGCAAAGAGTCCGCAAAAGCGTTTGTGGCAGACATCAAACACCGTAATCCCAGCTTGAATGTTCAGAACTCGAAGATTGCACCATTTCATTTATTATTATTGGTGCCGACTGCCATCTTACTGGCAATTTTCCGAATGTAACAATCTTAATTTTTTGGAATAGTGAAACATTCTCCATTTTAAATTAAATGACTTTTCGAGTTCTCCCAGAAAATGATGAGTACCCGACGTTAGATGATTAAACATTATTTGCGATTAATTTAGATCAAATTTTACTTTTCACTACACCCGGTTTCCGAAAATACGAAGTTATAACGCAAAACAATTCGTTTTGTCACATTTATTCTGTGCTCCCAATAAAATACATATAGCTTGGATTTCGAGTCGCTGTTCAATCCCGTTCTTTCGCCCGAGCGCGACACACGCCTGGTCGAGTGTCGGGCGGTATTTTAGTCGTCGATAAATTAAAAAAGTTGCCACACGGGGTATGTATAACGATGATAACTACAAATTTGGTAACAGAAATGAATTTGTCTCAAGATGTTATTTTATGAGTTTTGCTCGCAGAAACAATCGATTTCTGTCAAAGGCACATGACATTAAAACAATATATAACGATATCATATCAGTCCGATTACCTACATAGTACATACCCATTGGACAACGGCTACAGCCAGATAGCTAAGGACTACACGACCCACAATATCGCGTTGAGAGAATACCAGGACGCATCCCTCAAGCGTAGCGAGACAACTGTGTAACATAAATAAACGGAGACGAAAAAAGCGTGAGCGAACTATATTAAGTTAACTATGCTATGATATTCTCTTCAAGCGTAGTCAATGAAAAGCAAACATCCACACTATAATAATAACCCAGTTAGTTTGATTGTGTCTGTAATAAGGTTTGAATACGAAGTGCAAAATAGCAAAGTAGTCTTGTAATTATATGGCACATTCAAATTAAGAGTTTGTATGATTCCAATACATTAAATTTTGGTGTCTTCGATAGGGTATTGAACATAAATGCAATGCCATTTTCGATATCGGTGTGAATTGTCCCCTTTTCACGAGAACCCAGTATATTAGCTTTTGCGAAGAAAACACGGCATATAGTGTCAATATTCAAGTACCAAAAGTTCTAGTGTATTTTATCGCATGCAGACAAATGAAGTGCTGGCAGGTAAATTCCGTGTTCATGGAGAACCTTCCAAACTAGCAGAACATCATTTGCGGTTGGCACGGGGTTTTTGATGTATGGACGAACATACCATTTTTCTGTGAATTATATGATGAAAAAGCTAATGGGGAAGCTTGTAGAACTCCAATGTTGAATTGTCGGTGTTTACAGTGACGCAAAGATTGCGACGTCATCAAACACATTCTTTGACTTTTGTGGCAGGATTTGCGCAAAAACGCCGTACAGAACGGTATGGAATTATTGCGTTATCTCTTTCAACTAAATGCTAACCCTCGAGGGGCTAGGTGCATTTGTCGAAGTCATACATATAGGTATTTTGGCGCTGCCGAAGTATGTGCAACAAGATGGCGCACAACCTGAACCCTAACCTGGTACACATACTATTTTCAGGTTGTGCGCCATCTTGGTGCACATACTTATGGAGCTTTGTTATTTTTTATATGAGAATCTAAATTTTGCCTGTTTATTGCTAAAAACCCATAAATTTTCTTCCTCGAGGTTCTCTGTATTAGTTAACATATTACGACACAGCAGTTTTATATATTTTATGAATTTTGTTTAAATATTTCGGATTAAAATATTTATAAAATCCTTACCATTTTTCAGGCAACGTAGACCAATGACGTAATTCTCGTAGTCAGTCAACGTGTAGTATGGGTTTTCCTGCGCAGAACGGATGCCTTGAAAAAAAATCGAACTTTGAAAACTATTTATTTATTATATATAAAAATTTTCTATATGCTACAGTATTTACGCAGTCCATTCCATATTCATATCCTTCATGTTTACAATTAATTTTAAATTAATTTTACTCACTTTGTACGGTTCACATAAATGTATAGAACTGACAAAGTCGATGCTAATGCCGAATATAGCCTAATACAGTATTGTCTTCACCGCTGCACAAGACAAACTACTTGGAAGTAGCCCTGTTGACAAGGATATTCGTCCGACTCGATTTATTCTGATTATTTAAGACAGCATAATAGTTAAATTACAACAGGCAGTATGCCTATAGTTTTTCAACGTTCCGGAATACACTGAGCGCGAATGGTATGCAATAAGTTCTAATAACAAAAGTAACATACTTTCCGATTCTTTTTCCCAGTCAATGCGTCCATCTTTTTCTACCAATTCAGGCAAACGAAGCTTTGCTGTAAAATTACATTTAGTTATTTTGTATTGTTGAGCATGAAGAAGAATTACAACAGCGTTTCTCAAACTGTGTTCCGCGAGCTTCTTCTGAGTGCTCCGCAGAACAGGGATCGGAATTACGACTAAATTGTTCGCCATGACGATTTCGGTCGTATCTCGGCGAGTGTGGCTGGTAAATTTGTCTCCCAATTAGCGACAAAAACAGGCCTTGCTATCTTAACCGGGCGGTCCTCGTGTCAGTCTGAAAAGCATGGCGTTTCCGTTAACCGTTCAATATCGTTGACCGTCGGCCTAATTTGTTAATAGTGAAGTTTACAGCAAACTTTATAATTTTACCATAGGCTAATTTTTTTTTGAAACGGGTGTTCCGTGGCAAATCGGTGTCACGGAGCAAAAAAAGTTTGAGAAACGCCGAATTACAAGAACAACACAGTGTAATAGCATAATCATCAGATTTGCAACAAACCTGCTACTTTTTCTATGACGTCATAATAGCCTCCATCTGTGTTCAAGAAACGGAATGGCATGGGTATGGGATTGCTGGGTGAACTGAAATACCAAAAATAAATTTTCGAATTTAAATATTATCTAGCTGAAAATCTGTACGAATTCTAAGTTTATACACATTTTTTAACATAGCTTTAAACCAATACTGAGTTGCTTGCAGCAAATTTAAAGCGAGAAATCTTACCTATGAAGATATTTTAGAAACGTTGCTCTGAATCCATGAATCGCGGTCGTAATGTTTGTCATAACGTAACAGGCAATTCCAACTTCGTATTCTAGATTGCCGTGTAGCGATAAATAGAAAGACTTCCCTTCAAGCTGAAACAAAGTAAGGCTGGAGTGTGTCTTATTAGCATTTTGATGGCCGAAAAACATACCTTAATACTTAATAATTTTCTATTTAAATAGAAATACTCGATGAATGCATCGTTCAAACATGTTATTTGAAGCAAATGGTATTGTTGGGCACACTTAACCAACGAAAAACAAATACAGGTTTTCAATTATTCACTATTAAATGGTAAGGTATTTGTAATCTCTAATTGACTACAAAAAATCATACAATACACTAAAAACAATATGTAAAAAACCTTCGTCCAATTTAATGGTTTCGGCGTTTCCTCAGGATACTTGCATATTTCGTTGCATGTAGGTTGCCGTGTTTGAAACGACAAATGGATCGAAGCAAAAACAGTAGCATAAAAAAGGCTTCTCATTTTTACTATGGTTGTACACTCATATATAATTGAAAAATAGGTAGGCGATGTTGGCGGCTACACAGAAAAATGAAGCCTTTTCATCAATATACGTCACTTAAATACCAATACACTTTTATTCAAAGAAACAGGTTCGCTAAATCGCCTTCGGCGTTTAATTTAAAATTTTATTACCTAAATTATATATATTTTAAATAAGCATAGAGAAGAATTAGATCAGGGGTGTGCAAAGTGCGGCCCGCGGGCCAAATGCGGCCCGCAAGGGAAAATTGTGCGGCCCGCGGAGGCAACTGAATAGCAGTTTAAAAAATTTAATATTAAAAGATAAAATAGGTAAATGAGTTTTGGTTCCAGCCTACCAGTTGATGTTGTCTAAATCGAACCTAGAATAAGATTTGACAGCAAATTATTTGGAAATGAAACTTGGCGCATTTTACTGAAAACTTCTCAATCAAGTTACTTCCCACATTTGAAAAAGTCACGGCTTCAAATATGGCACTTTTCGGTAATATATTTTTGTTCTAAAATGGGCGTCACATCGAATTGCTAGCAATTCCATTTGAGCAAATTTGGATAAAAGTAGCCGGGAAAAGAATCCAGCAGCAAATTTCTCACTGAATTCGTTTAAATTGGGTGCAACAATATATATCTTCAAATTACAGTTCTAAGAACTTAATGCGTTTTAACTCATCATTTCTGTAAGGACCATGAGATCAATAACAAAGAGACACCATTTTGTGCCTGCAACTAATAGAAAACCTGTGTGAAATGTAGGTGCGGCCCGCGGTTTAACCCGGTTATTGATATTTGGCCCGCGTGCGAAAAGGTTGCACACCCTTGACTTAGATGATAACCCATCCGAAGAAAAAAGCCAGTAATGTGCCAGTTTTGCAATAATATATAAGGCTGATATCCATCCGATTAGTGATATATAAAGTATGTTGATCATGTCAACCAGTAGTGGGTTTCGCGTTGAAAATAGGGAAATCCCGCACTGAATATTTTTCGTGCATCGCAGCTAGCGATATATTTGGCGTTTGTTTCGAATGTTACGTAGCCTCTTAGATTTATGTGACGTGTGCCACGTTAATGTAGCCTATGCTGTTACGTACATACATTTGAATCTTTTGTGCGGAACCCCCGCCAAAAAACACCCCCTAACGCTAAAAATAAGAAAATTAGCAATTTTCCCATTAAGAAACCATATTGCGCAAATTCTTAAATCATTCCTAACCCTAAATGGATAATTCTTCAGTTTAAAACGTGGCAGTTTTTTTTTTTCTAAAATCACATTTTCATATTAGTCGTGGGGGCTTTGTACAAAAGATTCATACAATTTTCCTAAATAAGAGAACCTGTTGTTAGTGAAGATAGACTGTTATATATAGAGATTTTAAATTTCATTATTGATGTCAGCCAAATCATCACGGAAAATCCAAAAACACAATTTAAAAATCTTCGCTGCAGATCGAGAGAATTTCGTTCAACATTCTAATATGGAACTATCACAAAACCCTTTTTTCTCAATACGAATTTGATATTTACGAAACACCAATACCTCATCTCATATCCGGTTTAGATTGTGTTGTCAACGTCAGGAATGTTGTTTCGAATTTCGTAAACAACAATTAATTTTAGTTTCTAGCTCCCAGCTATTATCACACTATTAAAGTTTAACGAGAATATCGGTTGGAAACCGAAGACTTATCGATCGATAGTTAGGGGATCCCCAAAAACAGAAACTGCAGTTTCGATTCATTCGGCGGGTCCCAAAATTCTCTCGCTTTACAAATATCTAGATCACTATATCAATAATTGATTGATAACTCGCTAATTATACGACATAATTCGCCCAAAATCAATAGGATTCTGGTCCGAGATAAGATGAATGCACATGCAATGTCTGGAGCAGATCCAATCTTGCTTTCGTGAGATATCGCGTGCATCTAACAGACAAACATACAAATACCTATCAACATACTCACCGATTAAAATCGATAAGTAATAACTACCGGCTGTTAACAACTAATAACAGACGGACGCGGGTTATCACCCATCTTTGGTTTCCTCGTTTTGATGATAGCATTTTCAAGTCGTCTTCAACGCAAAAATCGGAGACTACAGTAAGTTCATATTTGCATTTTAATGTATCAAATAAACAATGATACACAGAACCGCGATATCAAATCACCGTTACATTAAACGAGTGTACCACTCAGTACAGTATCAAACTAAATCCACGGTGAAGATGTGCAGCTATTGCAAGAGGTCGAGGAAATGCAGTACTTCACTGGCTAAATATATGGCTGGCGATCAGTATCTTTGGGCACATATGTCGTACGACTCACGCACAGACACCTTCGCTATTTTCAATATTACAAAAATCACAATGTTTTGAAGTCAGAAATGGTATTCAATAATTATTATTCAAGTAATTATTTAAAATCAAAAGTACATTTAAAAACGATCATAGAAACCACCACAACAACACCTTGTGCGGGTTTGCATTGAATGTTTTGTCGAATTTAATTCGAACGAGCTCTTCAACAATCCAGTCTGGCAGATGACGGAGTTGCTTCCCCAACCATGGAATTATGGGTGATATCAAAGACCATGAAGACAGAACATTTGACTTGTATATCATGTTCCTTGTTTTGCATCTGATAGGGATTTGTGTTTTTCTAAAAAGCGTTTGAGCGAGTCGCCCTCTCTCATCTCCGCTTCTTCTGTTGAAAGTAAGGAGCATATTTGAGTAATAATAATTTATAGGCCTATCGGTCTCAGACACAGTTTTAAACCAGTTATTGAATTTTGAATTGTCTCACCGTCCGCATCCATTTCATCACTCAAAGAATCATTATTTCCATCACTCTCATCAGAACACCCTCTTGTTGCCAGTAAATCAGATGCTCTCATCGTTTCTACAAACATTTTAGCATTATGGAACAGATGAAGTATTATTGATTAGTGGTTGGAAAAAATTTCCACCCATGATTATAATTATAACTGTAGTTAATACTAATAGACAGATTATCATTTTATAACTATTTTCAGTTCCCATATTCAGATGCTAAGTGCAAAAGGTTCAATGGCGCTGAATATATTCAAATGGAATTTTATGAGATGCATTGCAATGAGGAAATAAATCTATATTATATTCGAGAGATGTATCACTGCTTGACCTTATTATAAAAAGTATCATCTGTTCGGTTTTCAACATTCTAAAAATATGTGCGGCCCACCAATGACTTGCAGGTTGCAACCCTTAATTTTGGCCCGCAAGCGACAAAAGGTTGCCGTCTCCAGCTCTTGACACTCGAGTGTCCGCCCATAATTTCTCTCGAACATAAGTCTCTTTTGTATCGGAGTGAGGGTACTCTCGTAGTATGTGAACCAAGATGGCGGACATGGGAACGTGGTATGTGTACCAAATTAGGGTTAGGCGATAATTTTATTCCAATTTCGGGGACTAGCCAAGTGACTCCCGTAGTATTTGTATCTGAAATTATTGCCTAACACTAACCTGGTACACATACTACGTTCCGGTGTCCCCCATCTTGGTTCACATACTACTGTAGTACCGGAGTGAGTATGGGTGAGCTGACCTTGCTTTGAGCAAATTCCCTTCACAAATTGGAGATAGTATTGAGGCATTCGTGAAAAATATTAATGAGAGCATTTCATAAACTTTATGTAATAGAAAAAAATAAATAAACACAGTTTTCAAGACGCAGCAATACATATATTGATTTATGCTTGTTGTAGCAAAACACTCACCACTTCTAATCGGATCATTTGTACCCAAATCTTGTTTAAATTTATCATTTTGTTGTTTCTTTCTTTTCTCATCCATTTCTTCAAGCTTTCTTTTCTTCAATTTATCATACTCAGGTTTATATTCACTACAAAAAAACAGAAATTTGCCAAGACAAAATCAGTTAAAGTCTGTAGCGACTGATTCTTTGACACATTCCATAGAATGCAATCATAGGACATGGGAGCCAGATCTAATACTAGTTTTTGAATTCACTCACCAAAAGCAATGATTGATAAAAATAATGAGGTATGCCTCTACTTTATTAATGCGTTAGCTGCTCTTGTCTTATAATTGAATTAGGAGACAAGCTTGGTTTGCAGAATGAATATTTTGCTAAAAACTAGGAATGTATAAAGAAAACCTAAACAAACTGAATTAACTTTTTAAGTCTTCCAGTACCTCGGTATATCATTATAATAGAACTTTAATGAATGATAAATAACAAAAAATAATTACTTGTCATATTCCTGCCTTGCCTCAGAAATTGCATTCAATAGATTGTCCATTCCATCCCCAGTTACTGCAGAAAATCCAACAAGCTGAAACAGATGCATGTTTAATTGGTTTTATAACTAAAAATATAAGAGCCGATAGTACAACTATATGCATATCATGAGCTCATAGCTCCTATAATATAAATTCATTCTTTTCATTAAAATTCGATTTTAAAATATAGATGTATGCAATAATGTAAAACTGATTGAACAAACCTTTAAATTATTGTAGAATTCATCAAGAACCAAGCTCATAGATCTTGTTAAGTTTCCGATATAATTTTGTTCAGAATTTAATGCTTCTTGAAATGCTTCAAAGTCTTGTGTCCACTCAACAGCAAAGCTATGATCAACTATGTCTGTCTGCAATATATAGATGAGCTGTTTTAGCTTGGTTCACAAATCCAATCATAGCCCCACTCAGGGTAAATAAAATTTAACAGAGCTCCAGTGGGCGCCCCAGAAGTGTGTAGACCAGTGGTTCCCAAACTTTTTGAAAAAAATTCTATGACAAACCCCTAGCATTTTTTTTAATGATATCCGGCCTTGTGCATTAAAACAAAACGTTAAAAGATCACAACAAAAAATCAATCCGCCGGAAAGTGAAAGAAAATGAAGCGCGACACCAAATGACATCCAGCCTGTTTCGATATTTGGTAAACGTGCAAAATGGCAGCCTTAGCTATAGCTCTGCAGTTAGTAAACTTGTGGTGACATGAATTGAACTCTCTCTGTGATCCCACAGCTTTGTGACATCACAATGGGGCAGCGTGACCGAAACAGAAAGTGAAGAATTACTTTAGCGGTGATTGTAAAGCAGCAAAAGGGTTGGCAAAAGGTGACAAATGTGAATTTACAAATTAATAGATTTCATTTTTGTATTATCAAGCTATCAGCCATATTACAGATTTGCTACGCGGACCCTCCGAAAGTGTCTCACGGACCCCAAATGGTCCGCGGACCCTAGTTTGGGAACCACTGGTGTAGACCAATATAGAAGTTCACTAATTTTGTTTGCCTACTTTACATCAAGTTGTGTAAAAGAACTGAAACCTATGGGCACAGGGTTTATTTACTTGGCTAACACAGACAGTCCCCAAACTCGTAAGGGAACTAAAATAAGGAGAACCAGAATAAAATTATGGCCTAACCCTAACCCTACACACACTACGAGAGTAGATAAAATTGGATAAACCATGTTGAATTATGCCTAAGTCTTCAAAAAAGTGATAAGTTGATGTCACAGTTTTAGAATTTAGAAATATATTTCTATGCAATTCGCTAGTACACTCACTTTCTCTAAGCCTATTTCAAGAGGATCAGAAAATGAATCAGATTCAAAAATACCATTTATGGAATATCCATAGTACAGAGTGCTATGTTGACAAGATCGAGCTTAGAGGCTACAATAACAAGTCAAAGTAAAGAAATAATTTTATGCTCTGATAAAAAGAAGCTCACCTTGTTCATCACAACAATGAATGGCAGTTTTGTTTTATATAATATACTACAGGCATATAACATATTAGACATAAAAGTAACTGGATTTGTACTTCGTGCAGTGTCCATCACATAAACAACAACTGTAGGAAAAGTTGAAGCCTAAAAAATGAATATATTGCAGAGACACTAAATTAATGTTTGTTGTCGAAAAAAGGATAATGATTTTGAGATGAAAAATAGAATAGAAATATACTAACATACCAATGTTTCAGTTATGATTGCACCAGATGCTGACCATGTGAAGACTTCAATCTGACCAGGTGTATCAAATATAACATATTCACATTCAGAGGCTCGTTTTTCAATGAATGTCATGACCTGAAAGTTTATGGATGTCAAAATGAGGAAAGCTCACATCAATTGAGTATATGTCTCTAAAGTCGTTGACCTTTATATCCTATTCACCTATCCATTTTTTATGCAAGAATCTACTAAGATGTAGGAGTTCCAAGGAAAAACAAGAAATTTCCAGTTTGCTACTTTCACATTGAATGTAAGATAAATTGCAATCACCTGATCGAATTTAGTTGTGAATAGATTCAAAGCAGTCATTATACCACCATTTGGTCCAAGCCCATATTGTTTCATCACTTCTTTATATTTAACAGTATCTCGTATATCAATGTTTGTTGGAAAAGGAACTGAGTGAACAGCAGGATCAAGATTCACAACATATGGTGGACTTTTTCTTGCATGTAAATGAGCAGTCAATCTCTGAAACAAAATAAATAAATTTAAACACCATATGGCATGATTTTGATATACTTTCATGAAAAATGGCTCCCTCATAAGGAAGTGCTCCATAACACCTGAATTGCATCAAATGTTCAGAAAAGAATAACTCACAACTTATAGGAAGTGATGTGAATTGCCCTAAATCAGTAAATGTGGAAACCCCATGGTTGACGTTTATAAGTTATTATAGTTACTTAGCGCAGTGGCAGTGCGGCGCATCATGCTAAGCCAGTAAGCGTTGGTAATATGCTTGTCACCGCACCTCTGATCACCCTGTGTGAGGGAGTGAAGGCAGCTTAATCATATGGCTGTATCTGTGTATAGTGAACCACAGTCTATAGTCAGATCGTCCAGTAGTCCATGTTAGATATGGCATCAGTTGGCGGGAAATTTGTTTTGAGATGCGCGGACTTGCAACTTGATGGTGGAGAAAGCCGTCCCGGTAACTGACCAGCCGTATCACCAACGAGTTATTATTGTACGCTACCGGTAAAGTAGCCTACTAACCTGAACAAAAGTTGTTTTTCCAGAACCCGCCATTCCCAATACAATTACTGTCGTAGCTTTTGCGGCATTCTTTTCACTTGAAGACGTAGAACTCCCACCCGAAGCCATTTCTAAACCTTTAGGATAGGATTTAGCCTACATATTTATCCAGGGGGAGAGGAAAGTCAATAAGACAGCTTAACCATATGGCGAACCACGGCCTCTCGTCCGGTTACAGCTACCGTACCGGGGGCCCTACTAAAAAGGTAGGTATCATAGGTATCACTCACTAAAAAGGTAGGTATCAGTAGTAAATGATTAAAAAGGTAGGTATCAGTAGTAGATGACTAAAAAGGTAGGTATCAGTGTCTAAAAAGGTAGGTATCAGTAGTAAATGACTAAAAAAGTAGGTATCAGTAGTAAATGACTAAAAAGGTAGGTATCAGTAGTAAATGACTAAGCGGACATCGGAACGTAACATGGGTAACAGGTTAGGGTTAGGCGATAATTTTTTTCCAATTTTCCTTATTTTAGTCCTATTATCAGTTCGAAGACTAGCCAAGAGCCTCCCGTAGTATTTATACCTAAAATTATGGCCTAACCCTAACCTAGTACACATATCTGCATATTACATTCCGATGTCCGCCATCTTGGTTCGCATACTTCGGGAGCCCCCTTTTTAGTCATCTACTACTGATACCTACCTTTTTAGTTATTTACTACTGATACCTACCTTTTTAGTCATCTACTACTGATACCTATCTTTTTAGTTATTTACTACTGATACCTACCTTTTTAGTCATCTACTACTGATACCTACGGTACCTTTTTAGTCATTTACTACTGATACCACCTTTTTAGTTATTTACTACTGATACCTACCTTTTTAGTCATCTACTACTGATACCGGTACCTACCTTTTTAGTCATTTACTACTGATACCTATCTTTTTATGGAGTGAAACCTATGATACCTATGACTGTATGATACCGGTACCTACAGGTACCGGTACCTTTTTAGTAGGGTCCCGTACCGGTACCGGTACAGTACATTTTTATTTCTTGTTTAGGATCTACGGTACAGATTTAAATAACATCATACATAGTCTAACTAATCTATCATACGCTGCTTATTCTACATCCAACCAGCAATATGTCGAACTCCAAATCTGACATGGCTACCTTCAATTACACCACAAAGCCAACGCCATAACCCTGCACGCATGATTAGAAGCCTACGGTACCGGTACCGTACCAGATTCGTCGTTGTTTACGCAAATTTAAAACATACTTCCTGTATTATTTATCCAGGGCAGAATTCTAGTGTTGAAATGCAAAAAATATCCAAATTTAAAATTGGTTTTGTAATGTCGCTTAAAATTATATTCTTCCGTGACAGATATTACTGTATTGGTACTTAAAAACACACAGTTAACGTTGTTGTGGGTAAGAAAATACTTTTACCTCGGTCACTTTTTTCTACACTCATTGTATGATGAATTTATTACCGGTACTTGTAGCGTGAGCAGGCCTAGTGCTACCGTCAAAAAACAACCAAGTCCGTCAACCTAGGACCAAAATAAGAAAAAACAAAACGGGTCGCGCGGCGCTAAGTCAGCCCTGCGGTTCGTCACAGCTGTCACATGGCCAACGCTTAAAAATAGAGTAGTTATAAAATAAAAGCCCAAAACCTCTCTTCAAATGAAAAGAAAGGGACTATTACCAGTTGGAATAGTTGTTGTAGTTGGAATATTAAAAATAAATCAAAATTGTTCTAATAATAAATACAAATATATATCTGCCATTGATTTAGTAGTGTACGCGAAAATTGTTCTGCGTTCCGCACGGAATGTGTCGTCGGCCGCATGCTGCCCGCGGGCCGCAGTTTGGACCAAACTGATTTGCAATCATGAAGTTTTACGCGCAAAATTTATTTACAATGCACCAACGACTAACAAGCATGAATCTGTTAATATTTATATTTGGCTTCACACTCATTGAAGATTTTTGATCCTCATATGTGGAAGAATCGATATATGCGCCCGACATGCTGATATCTTGCTTTCTTTTCTGGACTACAATCTGTGGAATAATTGCATTTGATATGGACATATTAAATAGAATTCCTCAATCGCGTATACAGTATACCCAAGTTTATATTATATCGCTTCCTCAGTAGCATTCACATCTGAGAAATGATATATGAAGGGTGTACAGCCTAAGCTAGGGTTTTCAAATGTAATATAATAGAAAATTCAACAATGTAAACGCGGCGCACGTAGTTTTCGGGCGGTCCCGATCGCGAAGGGGACATTAAAGTTTCATCGTAAGTTTATTACCTTCCGATTTGAGTTCAGCCCGTCTTCGGGTTGCATCTAACGTTGACATTCTTTGGCGTTTCGTCGTTCGCATAACGTATGTCTATGCAAAGCCGTAATCAGGGCGGGACTTTTTTAAAACAGTGTCAAAGACATCCTTCAGCTGGCCCTATATTCTAATTTACGCTTCGGCATTTAAAACAATGAAATATAAATGTCATTTTCGCAAAGAACCGACTTGAGCGCATTGTTACATTACAATTTATATAGATAACAGCAGGCACATGTCTTGGTTAAAGGTAAACATTATTCCTGTTGTAGCTAGGATCGGGCAGTTAAAGAAACCCCGTGTAACTCTGGAAATTTGGTCCCGGTGTTGAATTCGCCGACACGCTTGACTTGGTGCTGACAGATTATTATTGCTTCGAAAATTATCGTGCGACTTCCTGCGTTTTTCTGTGTTCTGACGACGCTGTCTCGCGTCAAGATTAAGTGAGTGACTTATAAATATTCAAGTTAGTTGTGCACATGGAATATTACACGATATACTTGACTATAGAACTGATAGAATGCAGATTACAAAACAAAATAGAGGAACAATCAATTGAGTGGGAAGGCCCTAGGACCGGTTGAGCACTCGAAAGCACATTGACAGTAAGATTTTAAATTCACTTTAAAGCTCCCATGAGTAGATGTAGTCTAGTAGAGAGCCGCTTTGTGCTACGATTGTTCAGCATAAAAAAGAGTACGTTGTAAATGTTCTTATAGGTACCCAATACAGTAATGATTTGTCGAGAAATGTAAATTTTGATAAGAGATATGTGTATTTTCGGATCATAAAAAATTGCAGTGTGAGGATTTATGCTGTGTGATCAAAGCAGTAAGCAAAAATGTAAATTGACTGATGGGTGATTGAAATTGTGAAATTACGACGTTTGTATGAAAAACTTAAATTAAACACACATATTTTAACTTCAATTAATTAGTGTTTTATGATGGAGGTCTACTGATCTTGATAATTTTTCCCTAGACTCATTCTGTCATTGTATGGAAAGCCACCAGCTGCATATTACAACATAAGAGGTGTTTTACGTTTGCATTGATAATCCATTTTGCTTGATTTCAGGCTGGTACTAAAAACTTTTTGCACATAAATTGGATAACTATTAGTGCTATTATATTATCTAAACATGGCTTCAACATATATATATATTTATAATTTTAGATGTGCCAAAAAGTTTTGAATTATTTTGTCGAGTGTTTTTAAATTATTGATTTGTGATCAATAGCAATAACTTTTTTTGCTGTAGAATGTAGAGAACACCTAATGGCATGATAGGTGTTTTTCAGATTATTTGTCTAATCATTTAAAATTTTTGTTTTCCATATAAAATTATAATAATAGACAAATTGATTATTTGTATTGTATGGCAGTTTGGTATAACTGCTGATAATGGAAAAAATTTTGTTTTAAAGGTTACATGGGTTACCATTTCATGAACGTGGACTCAATTTAAATTGGATATATCTGTATATGAAATATTATGGGTAAATGTATCTGGATTATTTAATATTTGTCATTATTTATCTTTGTATTTTTGTATTGTACACTTTTAAACTTTATGATATCACCTAAATTTCCTGAAAAATTGGGCTTCATGCAACTAAATTGAAATAATATACTTGGATAAATTAAAATCGTCATATTCACAAATCCGAATTAGCAATGGATTTGAATTTGGCAAAAAAAAAAGAAAAAAATATATGTGCTTAGTCTTGTAGAGTTTTGATTGTGCATATGTACATAGGCACTTGAAAATTCAGAAATTAGGCACTCCGAAAAAAAGGTAAAATGGGCGTAATAAGGTTTACTTGTCGCATTTTGCGTGTTCAACATTTAATCTAACTATTTTTTAACTAATTCATTATCTTTTTAAAAGTAATAACGTCCATTTTATCATCCCTTTTTGCGAAGGGCCTACCGTCTGACCGTACCGGTAACGTAAGTCTGTAAGTGGTGATCGAGCTCATGCTACTTATTTTAATACAGTAATCAGTAATTTATTTTATCACCAAGAAATACACACTGTACATACAGAACGAGATAAGAAAAGAGAGGAAAATAATGCATTTCAGGGTGAAAGGGGACGCGATAAACCAGCATTGGTTATCGAGCAACGACACCTATGAATAGTCTAACATTGGGTTATACAAGAACAAAAATCGAACTAAATACAATACTAAAGTGAGGAGTCGGACGCCAAAATACTAACATTGGCAGAAATATGTTTAAAAAGACCGGATATTTCTGGACTCACTAAGCAAAAGACTCCGAACGCCGACTGGCAGATAACCATGACAACTACGGCACAAATACGGTAACGTCTAAGTGACTGGAGCACCATATTGCAAGCTGAGTTGGACGGTACCGGCCCTGTGCTGATGCATGGTTCATAAAGGCTGGGGACGAATTTGTACACGAGGATAATATGAAGAGAGAAAAAGAATAAAATGTATCTACAGGTTTGGGCAACGGATTAAGAGATCACTAAACCAGGTAATTGCATTGAGTTACATTACTTACAAATAGTCATTTTGTGTGGCATAAATATAACTAATTTCAGAATTTAAATCACAACGGTTCTGAAGTGCGATCGAATAGTCATGTTAGATATAGAAATCATTGAATAAAAAAATGTATATACACAACTGTTCAACAGTTCAATAGGACAGTTTCATGCAGAATTTATGTCAATAAATTACATAAATTTAAAGTCACAGCAGTACAATAGCCTACTATGATAAGGCAATTCATGCAGAATATATAAGTCACTCAATTATAAAAATGGAAAATTCACAGAATTACAAACATATAAAATAAATATACTAATAATATGGGTCAGTCGGACAGCTGATCAACATAATCCCATTTTGGCCTAGACTGTGCTGTCAAATCTACTGGAACCAGAATCCTGGCATATGCTGGCTCTTATTTTTGAGACCTTTTGTTTTTGAAAAAGCGTAAATGTACCTCCACATATATCTGTGAGGGCATAAGTGAGTCAGTATATTAACAATATATATCAATAAAAGTATTTTAAGTAGATATCCGAAAAATTTGCCAAATAAACATTGATAATTCCATTTATTAAGAATAGTAAAATGTTTATTACAGGTTACTTGGACTCGAGGACTGTGGATCAAGTCGAGTAAACTCATTGTATGATCAAGTAATCCTGGAGAATTCACTTTGCAAATTCAACTGGACCGGTAGGTGGAAATCATGAGTTTTTTATACTCTATTTTGAAAGTGGCATAAGAAGAATCACGTAGGGTTTGGGGTAGGTTATTCCAAATTCGCACACCTATGAATTTGAGGGACTTTTGGGATTTGGCAAGTGAGAAGCGAGGAACAAAGTAGTTTTGCCTTGTTGAAGAACGAGTGTTATGTTCATGCACTGAACTTAGCGAGACAAAATAATTGTCAAAAGCTGCTGGTAATTGATTGTTTTGAAATTGATGCATAATTTTTGAGATTTCTAGTTTATGGATGTCAGTCAATTTAAGCACTCTAGTTTTATGGTATGAATAATTTAAATTCGAACGATATGGTGCTCTAGCGAGGATTCTAACGGCTCTATTCTGTAAAACCTCTAATCTATGCATGTTGGACTGAGTTGTAGAGCCCCAAGCAGCTATGGCATATTGTATATGAGATTGAAAAAGTGCGAAGTAAACGGTTCTCAAGGTGGAATTTTGTAAATAATTTTTTAGCTTTCCTAAAATCCCTACGGATCTTGACAGTTTTCTATGGATTTCAGTGGTGTGTGTATTCCATTTTAACTGACTATCAATGTGGAGCCCAAGATATTTATAAGACGAGACTATTTCCAATTCGGAGCCTTTAATTTTTATTGAAAATTCATATGTCTAATGCGAGAGTTTGACTGAATAACATGACTTTAGATTTATCTATATTTACTGTAAGTTTATTGCATGTCATCCAGTCATGTATTTTATTTATTTCAGTGTTCACCTTATTTTGTAATGTGGTCAAATCTGTCGCCACTGGCAAGCAGACAAGCGTCATCAGCAAATAATTTGCTCAAAAGATTTGAGCTATTAGATAAGTCGTTTATGAAATTCAGAAACGCAAGAGGTCCAAGTACAGATCCTTGCACAATTCCACAATGAATGGGCATCATTGAGATCTATAGGAACCCAATTCAACATATTGGAATCTATTGGCCAGGTAATCACATAGTAATTTGCCCGCGGTACCTCTGAAACCGTAATGTGCTAATTATGAGTAAGGATACTGTGATTCACTGTATCGAAAGCTTTTTAAGATCTAAAAAAGTGCACGCAGACGAACTCGCCTTTGTCTATTTTATCATAAATGTATGAAGTAACGTCAAGAATAGCATGACTTGTTGAGTGACTAGTCTGAAATCCAAATTGACTTTTGTCGATTAGGTTAAATTTGGTACAAAAACTGATCATTCTAGTATGCAATAATTTTTCCAAAATAATGCCAATAGAAGATAAGACAGAAATTGGTCTATAATTTGAGGGATTATTTTTGTTGCCATTTTTAAATATTGGTATAACTCTGGCTATCTTTAAAGACGAAGGAAATATTCCTAAACGAAAGAATTATTGAATAAAAGACTTAGTGCTGGTGAAATAATATCACCAACTATTTTCAGGAAGTAAGAGGAGATGCCATCGTGACCAACTGCTTTGCCCTTTTTCAGATTCTTAATGGTATGAAAACTTCCGATGGTGTTGTTTGCTCGAGGAAAAAAGAATTCTTCAGAGGAGTACCAAGAATTCCATAAAAGATTTTGAGCTATATGGGATTTTGTCTGCAAGCTTCTTTCCTATAGTCGAGAAGAATTTGTTGAATTCTGCAGCCACTAGAAACTGGGTCTGTGACAGAGGTACCATTTCAAAGTAGCACTTCAGGGATGGTAGTTTCACCCCTGGACTTGACTCTGATAATGTCATTTATGGTTTTCCAAGTTCGTTTGAACAAACAAACAAAACTAACTACTGAACTACTGTGATCCTGTAATGCATACCCGACATGGGGTCTCCTGAAGTACGCGCCATCAAGTACTTCCAGACTTCTAGTGGGCGTAGCATGATGATTTTATTAATATATTATTCCTAACCCCACCGTAGTCGTAGGTCTGTCTGCCTGTTTGTAGGTGATGCTTCTCGATAACTATCACTGGATTATCTAGTGTCCCCATTACACTGTAATGCTTTTTTTTATCTTTCTCAATGTACAATGTGTATTTTCGACACGTCAAAAATAAACTGTTGACTGACAATGACAATAAAGTACTAACTGCTGGACCAGCTATCCATCCTAATGAACTAATGAATTTAGATTGAGTTAACCGATGCACAGGGGCGGAAAAAAAATGTAAAATAGACGTAATAACTCCTAAAATGACATTGAATTAGTTTTATCAATCAAATCAAAATCAAATTATGTGTTGATCACGCAAAATGGAACAAGTAAACCCAATAATGATATTTAAAACGTAAATTTCATGCCTCTGAAAACAAATAACTACTGTCTGGGAAAGTGAGTCCAACATATAATCATTATTGCATGTTGAGTAAAAAAGTCAAAGATAGAATATGACGGTATCGGTAACAAAAGCCAGATTTTGAGATATTAACTGACCCGATATTCCGATGTCACTCTTGGTAATGGAAGAAAACGACTGATGAATGCAGGACATGACATTGTCTGCCTTTAATATCAACATCCTCTCTTCCAAACGAATTTTTAGTTGTATTTAAATCTTCGAATATTAGTACTGTGGTATGTCAACGAGACGACAAAGCAGTGGCGGTACTGGATGACCAAGATATGGAACACAGACAGCAACTTATCCAGATGAGAAGAACTCATTACCTTTGGAACGAATGATCAGTCTGTATCCTCTCGCAAATTATACTTTTGGAACTAAAGAACCATTGTTTGAGAAAGATACGAGTGTTTAATTGAGATGAGTTGTAAATTCTGAAATTGATTCGGGAATTTTATCCTAAATCAGTAAATACTGATTTTTTGATCAGCCTTTTAGTTGTTTCATTAATTCTGCATCTCTTGACCCTAAATATTGGTATTCATATCTAAGAAACCAACAATAATCTGATGGAGGGCTTGTTCAGAGCTAACTGATTTTCAAACAGCAAAAACATTGACTACCACTTTTAGCAGAATAATATTATGAAAACTTTTGTTTGTCCAGCAACCAAGTAAATTTATAGCAGGGATATACAAAATGACCGGTTACAGTATTCGAATATGTGCAAAATTAATTTTGTTCAATATTCCTTTTTTTTCAGAATGATTTCATTCAAAAAATTTACAAATAAACAAAAAATCATATTCCAACTCCTGATAACATTTTAAATATAAAATCAATCTGAACAGTATTTAGCTGGGTATTATTCTGTGTTTCAAATTTGTGGTTCAAAGATTTCTTATATTGAGACTGAAGTAGGAATAACATGATTTATACTCAATTTTTACATAACGATGCTGCAGTTGAAAACTGTTGTTAAAAATGTTCCACAAGGTTATTTTATTAAAATAGATGAACAGTATGTTAACATATCGTGTATATCGTATAAGATGCCAGTTCTATACAAAACACGAGGTCGCATTTCACTATAACAATTATCATGTACACCCAAAAGAAAGTATGTTGAGCTGCAGGTACTTTCACTTAGTTTACGTCGGATTTCGAATTTGTTTGTGTCGATGTCATTTGAGCACAAATATGCTTGTGTGCTCATTATTATTCTTATGGCTGTACACACTGATGTTGAGAGACTCTCCTTAGGCTGATAAGATTATTGCATTTGCCCTGTCTTATGGCTGTACACACTGATGTTGGGAGACTCTCCTTAGGCTGGTAAGATTATTGCATTCGCCCTGTCCTTGTAGTAAGGGGGATTGTTTCAGTATAATAACTGTATTGTGATGCCATAATGTCTTTGTGGACAAGACGTTCACCTTCCACCATGGCAAGCTGGGGTATCTTACCCACTAGGGGTCCATGAGTTGTTGTTTAAATAGTTAATGCACTTCAGATGCATTGACTCGATGGCGAAGAAACGCCAGATCAGGCATGCGGAGTGAAATAATCTGGCCCGCAACGCTTGAATAATTGTAACAAAACGACTATTTTGACGATTATATTCTTTATGTAACAGAGTTTATTGTGAGACGCGTTTGGACTAAATTATATTGCAACCTAGCAAGTATTTAATTCACAACTACTCGTTTAATGAGCATATCATTTAATTATAATTAGACAAATGGCAACAAAAACGCAGAATAGAATGATAAGTGCAAAAGGTTTAAGGGCATAGAAAATATTCAAATGGACTGTTTTGAGATGCAACGCAATAAGAAAATGAACGTATATTCTAATCGAGAGATGTGTCACTGCTTGATTTTTATAATGATGCTTGATAAGTATCTTCTTGAAGGAAATCTCTATCCAAATATGACAAACCATGCGGAAAATTTCACATCGATGTTTGGAAGTACATATGCATGCGAACAATTATTTTCGAAAATGAACATTGCAAAGAACAAGCTGAGAATTCGGATTATTAATTTCCATTTATAAAATGTTCTAATCTTGACTTTCACCAGTCCCATTTAGTGATGTCGAAAACCTATCAAGCGTGATGCAACAAATACAGTTACATTAAATATCATATATAAGTTTTTTCTTCAAGTAAGACGACTAAGTTGAGTTCACGAGTTGTCGCAGTTTTCATGCGCTGCTTGAAATTCAAATATTCAACTCCTGATCTGTGTGGAAAAATATTGATTCATCGGCCATCCGTTGGGTTTTTAACTTTCCAAATTTGTGCGGGCCGCCAATACTTGCAAGTTGCAACCCTTAATTTTGGCCCGCGAGCGACAAAAGGTTGCCCCGGTTGTTATTTCGGTATAATAAAAAATATTCGAAAAATACCTCAATATCGGTTGCACAGACTGTCTACACTAGCCATATTCTCCCGACATGGTTCATTTTTCGCTCGCAAAGCCTTCGCCGAACGTCGACGGGGCGACGCCGATTTTACGCCTGACATCACAGATGGTAAACCTACCGAGAGATTTCACAGCTTTGTACCAATCGTTGATCGCACGGCTTGCGGGATATCGGCTGTACTGAGAGAAGTGTTACAGCCTTACAACGCGAAGTCAAAATTGATAGCTCAAACTTATGACGGCGCGGCAGTCATGAGTGGGTCGAAACATGGTGTTCAAGTTTATATAAAATAAGATTTTCCTCATGCGCATTTTTTACATTGTTATGCACACCAATTTAACCTCGTTGTTAAAAATATTTGTCTTGATACCCCTCTCGTCCGTATATTTTTTGCAAATGTTTCGGGGTTTTCTTCATTTTTTTCCGTTTCGCCGAAGCGCTCTGACCTCCTTCGCCAGATATGTAGCCGCCGTCTCCCAGCTTGTGCACCAACACGTTGGAACTTCCAATCACGCGTGGTGCAGGGCGTGTCCGAAATTAGGTCTGAGCTCATTGAGTGTTTCAATGGCATTCAGAGCTCTCCGGTTTGGGACGAACGCTCTGTGAGGGAGGCGGCAGGTCTAAAGCAGTGGTTCCCAACCGCCGGTCCGCGAAGCTTTTTTGCCGGTCTGCGAGAAAATTTAGTTGTTTCGTTGTTTTCATGTCGTCTCAATCGCTTTACCCGATACGAGGTTGCGTTGGTTTATTACGCAAGTTCTCTTCCGCCGTCATATTGAGACATTGTGACGACGACTTTCGCGACATTGTGGCGACGTCTTCCGCGACATCTTGGCGCCGAGTAACCACACTTTTCGCTTTTTCGGCTCCAATTCATTGCGAATGCGCTCAATCGAATCTCGCAAGAATCAGAAAACTAAAAATCGGCACGCATGCTTTTTCTGTTCTGCGTGCTTTTCCTGATTAATATAGCCATCCACATAAAACTTTATGCATATATCTTTGTTTGAACCAGAAAACTGTCAAGAAC